TTAATGTTCGTATGATGTAGGTAGTGTAGTGTGTGTGGTTACAAGAACGGGACCACATATTGAGTCTATGACGCGCAGTTCTTTTGTTTTGTTTTTCTGCACAATGGCGGGCGCACGTGCCGCCATCTGCCGCAGGAAGCGGCGCTCGACTGGAAGATGGGCTTCTGATACGCTGACAGAGCACGGTCACAGGTGCCCTATCTAACATTAGATCGATACGATTAGATCAATACCGATACCGATAAGAGCCACCTAATTATCAATTTAATATCATGTCATTTTCGCATAATTTCGAATTTATAAAACAACCTGATTATGAGTAATTTTTTTTTCATTGCTCTGATGTGTGGACGAGCTCACAGCCCCCCTGGTGTTAAGTGATTACTGGAGCCCATAGACATCTACAACGTAAATGCGCCACCCACTTTGAGATATAAGTTCTAAAGCCTCAAGTATGCCAAAGGCTGCCCCACCCTTCAAACCGAAACGCATTACTGCTTCACGGCAGAAATAGGCAGGGTGGCGGTATTTCAAGTTATCTTAAAATGCCATTGAAAAATGAGGGCATGGTGCAACTGAGATTGCTTTAGAATTAGCCTTCACGCCGGAATGAATGTTCGCGGCGGCAAGAAGCAGGACAGCGTCACAGAATCTTATAGTTATTAATATTAAAAAACATATCTGTTCAGCAATAAAATTTAGATTTCAGACATTTATTTTCATCACTAAAAATAAACAAAAACAAAATCAGTGGATCACAATGTCCACAGCGTTAGGAATCCCATCAGATGAGCACGAGCTGGAGCCGCACAGCGACCCCCTGCCTCCTGACTCTTATTATAAGATGCCTTCAGCTCTAACGGTAGGAGCAGGCTTAGGGACTCTGGTAATTTCCTCCCGATCCACTAACGGTGCTTTTAGGTACCTCAAGCACCGGTCATCGTTCTTGTCGAACCCATCGCTTGCGACGAAAGGCTCGACAAGTAAATTAACCCACAGATACAGTCCACTGAGTTTCTGGCCGGATCTTCTCAGTGGGTCGCGTTTCCGATCCAATGGTAGATTCTGCGAAGCACGATTCTTGCTAGGGTTCGTGTTGGCAACGTCGTCAGATTTGAGCCCCGTAAGCTCACCTACTAGTTAAGGTTACGCTTTGGTAGGAAAAAAAAGACTGGTAACAATTAAAAAAAAAAACCTTGGGTGTGCTTCAAGGACGAACGTCCTCCTCCAGTTCTTAACGATGCTCACAACATACTGTTTAAATCAACTATTTAACTTAGAAACTTACATTCTGGTCAAGTAATTGATAGATCAGGCCATATGTGCATACTCAGTTTAAATAAAAATTGTCAATATATCATTAAGAAAAACAAGAAAATATAGACAGAAACTCGTATTTCTGGGTATGTGAAGAGAAGCCTGAAGCAATTATATAATGTAATAAATTAAATAGTTTTAAGCATAAATGTGGATATAAGTATGTACTAATATCTGTTGAAGTTTATTTATAGTTATGTAGGTACAGGTATGAACTGCGTCGTGTCAGTCACGATACCAATCATGTTAGATTAATAACAAAAAGTAAATTGTTAAGTCCAATACAAGTGAACTCGGTTCGTATGACTATTATGTTTAGATCTCTTAGTGCGGGATTCAAATAATACAAGATGCAAGGCAGCCCACATTGCGTGCAGTACAACAGACATTACCTACCCGCCTTATTACTCGCGACTACTAAAACTTATGGTCGTTATAGAGAAATCATCGGACTTCCGTTACAACGAAACTGATATAATTTTATGAGCATTAATTTTAAGACCGATACACGGACGTACACGTTTACGTACCTACGTGCGCTGGTTTCTATTATGACGTAGACAATGTGTTGAGCACCACAAGTCAATATGTTCCAGGCTGTGACAGCAACAAGCGAATTGGTGTGTATGTAAGTGCTCCGTTTATTGTCGCCCGGGTGCGGAGGTCTACAGGAAGCGATCAACCCTCAATTACAAGACAACTTACATGTTTATTCCGTACCAAACATAATTTTATCCCAATTAATTACAAACAGAACTTCATATTTAAAAAATAAATCAAGAATTTCTTAAATAAATTAAATTTAATTATATAAGCAGTGTGCTAACACAATAATTTACCGGGCTTACAAGTAATACATCGAGCACAGTAGAACAATGAATGTTTAGAACGATTGAATATCAAGATAAAATGGCTTCATCTGTTTTATTGTAACACTCGTTATGTGAATAAATAAATAAATTAAAGCCAAATACACTTACATAAAATTACATAATCCATACGAAGAAGATTCTTTTAAATAATTTAAGTAAAATTGTCTTGAGTATGGTTATTAAAATTGCATAATGCTTGCTTGCTACCTACGGACGATGATCCTAATGTCGAAATCAAATAAGGCACTAATTAGGAGCAATCAATAAGCGCGTTATATATAAATAATTGACATAATGTAGCTGTCGTGGGATGTGGACACAACGCAGTAGATATATTTCTCAAAATTAACGGAAAAATATGTTTAAATTATAATAATTCAATGCGAAGTAACCAATTCTGGAATCGAAACAGATGATAATTATAGTTAATTAAGTTTATTAGATTGTGATATCTATTTAGGTTTACACAATATGTAATACTCGTATCACAGATTTCAGTCTACTCAAATGTAGATAATGTCTCAACACTTTGAGTTCTGTTTTCTAATACAAGATTTTTCACTTCCGAGCACCGGTCATCATACCGTTCCTGGTGGGATGAGCCCGTATCTTATTGTATCCGGTCTCATCATATACCTTCATAGAACGTAAGTAAGCAAAATAATACGTCGCATGTCATGATGCAAAATAAATTGCGTTGTTGTCTCTGCGCAGACGTATGGGAAGATGATCTAAGTACTCTATTTCGATAAATCGATAAGACACGAGAACCCTCTCATCGTGGCCGCCGGTAACTACATTGCCGATCCTGAGGACCAAATGGTAAACAGTCTACGTCGCCCAAAACACGTCATCTCGGATTTAGGTACGCCAAGCACCGGTCATCGTTCTCGTCGAACCCGTCGCTCGCGACGAAGGGCTCGACGAGTAAATTAACCCACTGACACAGCCCACTGAGTTTCTCGCCGAATCTTCTCAGTCGGTCGCGTTTCCGATCCGGTGGTAGATTCTGCGAAGCACGGCTCTTGCTAGGGTTCGTGTTAGCAACATCGTTAGGTTTGAGCCCCGTGAGCTCACCTACTAGCCCGGTGACGCTGACATGGTCTCTCTAGACCATCAGCTTAGGTAGGAAAAACAAAAAAGATCTAAGTATAGATCGTTATAATTATCTAGGGATAACTACGGTGTAAAGCGCCGAGTTGATTAATGAGTTTGATTGAAACTATTCTATTTGAATGTTGAATGGTCAATGACAGTTGCAAAAAGAAAATCAAATACGGCGACGTCGAGACACGGTACCTTACATGTCGCAGGAAGATTTTCGCGAGGCAAGGTAAATGATAAGTGGGCCGGAGCACGTAGGCACGTTAATTGGCAGCATTGCCCACCGGCCCGCTGGCCATAAACGAACTCGGCGTGGGCAGAGCGACGCACCGTCTCCCGCACCACCAGCCGTGAGACCGGCAAGCTGCCCGCCCGCCTCCCGCGCTCCTCTGTACATGTGCAGCTCGGGGGAGGCGCGACAGGTCATGCTGCGCTGGTCACAAAACAACCGTCAGCCTAGTGGATACATTCGACGATTGTCTCGCTTTGCTTCGGATTAATGTTTTCATTCAGCGTTTAGCAGACGTCCGCCGTCTGGCTTTGTTTAATTTACTATGGTTCACGTTAAATGCATAGAGCCAGAGAGAAAATAGCGCGACACGCTACTCTAGATACTCCACAATACCAATTATTTGTTTCGTTATATTTTTATAACTTATATTATTCCTTTACCTGCATTATTGCATTTTGTCTTAAAAATTTATCCTTTATCTATGTCGTTTTATTAAGATTCGATTGTTAGTGCTGACATGCTCAAGCTAACCTGTTCTAAGCAATCACTTGTTCTTATTATTACAACTAAGAAGCACTATTTAGGCTTTATAAAATTACTTTCGTTTAAATTTTAAAACGTGGGCTAACAATCAGAATTGAGGCAAACATCAACAATTCGAACTGTAACCTGTCTCAGTGGCCGAGTTGCAAGAAGTCTTTAAGTTTTCAAAACAAAAAATAGGCCGATGGTATTGAACGCCGAAAACGGCATTTAATCTGTTGGGAGCGGCGTCTATTTCGGTCGTTGTCCATCCATCGGGGGCTCGTGATACGCGGCTATTCCGGGCCGGGGCAGGTTTTCGGGGAATGTCAACAAACGAACGGGCTCTCATTCAATGAACTCTATGCACGGCGTCACCGGTGGCGGACCGGTCCCCGCAGCTATTCATAAAAATTATGCTCCCAGAGGCACTCAATGGACCGCCGGCTCTCGGACGAACCTTCCACCGAGCCCTTTATGGCGCACGAATCGGGTCACGTATTCTTTTTTCCGAATTTTTAAACGTGATGAAACAAAACCTTCCTTTTCTCGCAGCGTCCCGTCGGCGGTCTCCTTCGAGCGCTGCGGAGAATTACTCGATTTCACAGCGCGCCGTACTCATGCGCCGCCGGACGATTATATCAAGCAGGTGTCGATTGTACTAGTGTATGAAAAACTTTACAAAAAGTGGGAGACTCTCGCCACTATGCCCTGGCCCGCTACCGCTCTTCAGACGGTTGCACAACCCGTCGTGGAGCAGCGCCGCCGGTACAATTACCTTACGATATTATCAGGGTCTTGCTCGGTATTGCTTGGTATCGCTCGAATTCAAACTAGTTCAAGATTATAACAATTAGCGTTAGGTGCGGCCGCTACGAGCGAACACGAGCGGCTACCCTTCGCATATACAAAACCAACATAACATACGAAGATGGATTGAACAATGAAAGAAATTTTTAAGGATTTAGTTTCGTATAATTTTCTTTTAACAAATTTAATGATCAATAGAAAACTGTATAATTAACAATGTAGCGTCTTAACAGATACTTCGAAATTATTAGCGTTGTAGGTAATATACAAATACTTTGGAATGTTCATATAAACAATCTCAGGGGAATCGTTATCCACAGCGCAATACACGTAGTACGCCCAGTACGCGCGTTCCAACCAGCAGCGGTGAGTTAACTTGTCAGACGTTGGCAACAACGGCTACTGCACATTACAAACGTCAATTAATTAAATTCCCACACATGAGGTACGGCAGGTCGAAAATAAAACTGTGCATTTGCTATCAACATCTAAACGATTGTTTGTCAACTCACAACTTGTTACAACATTTACTATTTTTTTGTTTGCACCTCTCGGGGATGAGCGGTCTGTACAAGTAACAGAGAGCAACACAACAACATGCCACCACACATTTTACAGTTTCTATTATATTATTATAATTTATTCAAGATAACTTCAGTCACAATGATTACTCTGGAACATACAATATTATTTACATTTTTTTACATAATAAATAAATTAGTGATTTATTTAATAGAAACTGTTCAATAAATGTAGCGGCTATGCAAACAGAAAGAAAATTAATTTAGGACAGCTCACACCGCAGAGGAACTTTTTACACCATCCAATGTTATGTGAATGTTCAAAAACAAAGAATAATTGAGATTCACAAAATTTTGAATAGACGAGAGGTCACATAGCAGGAGATTACAAGAGAACCACTCATCTATTAGTTGGGCACTCCTGTGACCTTTCGGTCAATGGATATTAACTAAATAAAGCAGTCAATAAATAAACCTTCATAAATATCTAATAAATACCTACATGGGCTATATTTACAAAAAGAAGCCTTCCTCATGACGGCACATTCTCAGACTTTAAACAAATATAATACAGCACTATCCTCGCAGGATAAACAGGTATAAATTACAAATTAAAGTTGCCAGCTCAAGACTCGCATTACAAAATAATACTGACACCAGTAACATAACTATCAGTGAGATGGAATGTGCGGGCACTCGGCCCTTCAGCTAGGAACCATCGCACTACTTGCCGTCCCATATTATCTGTACACATTTCATTACTTTATTATTTTTCTGTGTATATACCAGACCTAATATTCAATCAACTTTTGATTTGTGTTCTTGAAGCATAGTGAAAGTAATTTGGAGCTGCCCCGCATGGTCCCATTCTGGGACTGTAACAAATAACAAGAATGCAAAACTGAGAGCCACTGGAATCTCAGCTGGCAAACACCTTTCTGACTTAAAGAAATCAATGATTGGGTTAACAGTTCTCATCCTACATGTACAGATGGTTAACATTAACTTTTTTACACCAGAAAGCTTTTCTCGAGTATAGAGATATACATCACAAACAACAACACAATATCATAACAGATCTATTTGAAGCGAGCAGCTGCAGTCATCTTTGCACATATCTGATACACTGATCCAACCACTGGTCACATTTCACAAATTTACACTATGGGAGACTGAAATTTACGACTTTGCGATGGAACCGGGCAGTCCGTATATACAAAAGAAATTTCTTCATAATAAATTATAAGCTTCGTAAAATAATTATCACATAAATTTTTACATCCTCAGTTCTGAGCACATATCTTATCACTAGGTAATCTACAGGGCGACTAGTGCGGCTGGTGCGAAACGCGACCGCCAGGACCAGCCACTGCCACTAACGTCACCTGTCCGCGCTCCGCAGCCGCAGGAGACTTGTCGCGACGCTGCAGCCGCACCCACGCTCCGAGACACACAAGGATTGCCAGGAAGACCGCCACTGTCGCACCGCCCGCGATGGACGCAGTCTCCATCATCAGCTGTCGGCCGCTCAACACATACGAGTTGTCCAGGTCCTTGAACTCGCACCGCGGGCCCACATACCCGCTTTGACACTCACAGTTATAAATCGGGCTCTCCGATATCACAACGGTGAAGCAGACTCCACCATTAAGACAGTAGTACTGAGAGTACTCGGGCTCGCACTTAAACGTCGGGAAAGTGACGTTGATACGCGGCTGCGGTTGGGGCTGCGGCTGCGGGCGCTGCGGTCGAGCAGGCCTCGCGGGCCGCTTGGAGATGGAGCTGGAGCACGCGCCCGCCAGCGCCCAGGCGGCTGACACTACCGCCCACCAAACTACCAACGATTGCATTTTCCGCACGATCCGGAGGGTCGGCGCTCGCGGTACGTGCACGATTTTGACATTGGACGGTGACTTATGAGAAATCCGAAAGGCGATGACATGACCGCATTCGAATTTCGAACAGGAATCCTTTGCTCGCATCGGCGTTGACGATCCGCCCGGACATGTTTCCTGTGTTCACTTTTTTACATCGACGATCACTCGCTCATGACGGAGGCGCGGTTTCTACGGGCGCCAGAGATATCGCATCGATCCCTCGACGAGCATGTCGAAAGTGAAAAGTCAAACACACCTTCAAACTTTGTAAATTGTGTATGGCGATCGTTCAAAACACAAACACTCAATGTCCCGTTCGAAAAGTTATACACAAAATGGAGCTGCGAGAAAATCGAGAGCACACTGCACTCGTTGAGTTGTCTATGCGCGACTGACAGCAAGCGTCCACTGCATCCGCCATCTGCCGACGAGAATGAAATGCGGGGAACTCGCTGCGGCTGCGCCCCGCACCGCGCGTTTCACATAATCGTGATCACTGTTGTGTGCAGGAAAATTACTCATGTGTGCGTCCCAGAACTGTATGTGTGAGTGCGCCTTTTTTCTTTTGTAAAGATTATGAACAAGGTATTTCTTTTTCTCAACGATTCCGACCCTCAAGAAACCATTGTCCGATTTGAATGGAAAATTATTTAACGAGTTTGTATAGGAGTCTGATAAATATTTGATTTAATGTAATATATTGTGTTGACAATGTGTATGCGTGTAGGTAGGTACCTATAAAATAAATTTTAGTTTAACCTTCTGTTACTAGTTAAAATGTTTCAAATTGTTTAACTACAAATTCTCAAAATTTCACCAAACGTTTTATTTTCTATAATTAACAAATTCATTTGTTTTTTTAAATTAACACATTGAATACAATGTTGTCAACGCAGTCGCATGTGTGCGAGTTTAAAATGTAAATAACTAATGATTCCTTAAAATAATTTTATTTTCATGTAAAATCCAATCATATTATCCAAATATTCTGATATCCAATTAAGGTTCTCACAACAGCAGAACTTAGAACAGGCGCATAGAACGTAGGCACGTAAATAGACACGTAGAACGTAATAGACACATTTCGTCCTAATTATTTTAGATCTGACTTAATTTATGCGATATCAGTTTTATGTCAAATGCCTGTTTCTGTGTACACTTTAGAGCAATCGAGTCGAAACTTTTCGTTCCAGAATCTCTGACAGCAACGTTTATCATTCAGCTGTTAGCAAGGTATTATTTAGATATCATCGCTTATTTCTTTTCCAAGTCTCTAATTGTTGTTCTTATGGTTTTATCTTAAACACCTATTCTGATTATTCTGCTTCTAAAACATCACGCATTTCGATTTGAAGGGTAGTATTTAATAGTATTTCCTAAAAATGAACTTAAAAATGGGGTAAAACGCAGGATTTTTTCCTACCTAGCTGGAACCGTAAAAAGCTATTTCAGCTGCGCGTGGACCGTTAGGTGAGCTCACGCACTTAACTTGAGATAGTTGATAACACTAGCCCTAACAAGAGTAGAGCTTCGTTAAATCTACCACCGGATCAGAATCGCGATCCACTGGGAAGATCCTGCGAGAAACTCAGTGGGCTATGTCTATGGGCTAGTTCTCACCTCGAACTCTTCGTCGTAATCGACGAGTTTGACGAGGACAGTGATTGGTGCATGAGGAGTCTAAAAGCACCGAGAGCGAATCGAGAGGATTCGACGAAACATGTTTTGAGCGAAGGCGGCTTTGTTTGCTCTGAAAATATTTTGCCTTTATGTTTTACAAACGAATACAAAGAATATTTAGAGAGAAAGAGAGAGATATGTAGAATTGTATACTTGGACTTCATGTCTGAAGAGTGGCGGCAAGGTCTGTGGGCCCTGGTAACAACATCAAACGGACCGGGTTTTATCCATTTCTAGAATTCATTTATTGCTAGCATTTATAATGTTATTGGCTAACGGGAATTGGAAGAGGCCGGAGGTGGTAAGTATGTCGGACCGCATAGCCGTATGGAAGAGCATGAAGTTACATAGTAGGTTCTACCGGGCTCTGGCAGGGCCTGATGTAGACCATGTATTATCACGGATAGGTCTATTATTGCCAATAACACTGGTATTGCGATAATAGATAGGTCTGCGCAGTGTTGGTTGATATCACCACTCCTCGTGATGATAGAAAAGGACAGTTTAATAAAATATTGAAACATCGCCCACGAGGCTACCGCCATGTGGCATGTTGATTCAACTATCATTGTTCCAATAGTTGTGTTGGTACACGGTTTGATAGCGGAAAGTTTCGACCAAAACCTTAAGAAACTTTCGTTATACAGCTAGGTAAGGGGCCTGGTACAGAAAGTAGCTATCCTCGTTTCAGCGCGTATTGTCAGGAAACTTCCCTGTCGACAGTCGTAGCTACTAGTGTCTTGGGTCGTAGACACCACCACCAGCGACAATTTATTTTTTATATAATGTGTTTTCATAAAATGTACTTTTAATTGTATTCAAAAAAGTATAATTCATAAAATTTTAGTAAACATAGCAAAAAAAAATACAATAATTACAATGCATACTGTGTTAGGTTTATGTAAATGTATTTTATTTTTTAAATAACCTAACGACCTGTTTTCCGCTTCCGGTTCCGGTTAGATCGCTTAATGTTACATAAAAAGACTAATAACGCTATAGCTTGTACCTAAGGACATGTGTATCCCTAATAAGTGACATTAGTTATTCAGTTTACCAACTTTTATTCCTACCTATGCTGATAACCTGGGGGCTTATGCCAGCGGCGAGTACCATCTATAATCGCGTGTTAATCTATTAAGCTGATCCAACTTTGATTCGGCGGCGCAGTAACTAACGCCCTTGACTGCTGAGCAGAAAGTCCTTAGTTCGATTCACGCTTCGACAAAGCATTCGAGTGAAGAACCGATTTGCTCTTCGTCTGGGTGTTTAATATATATGTTATTGCATTAAAAACTTTAGTTCCTGTGGTACAGGTAATCCTAGTTTAAGGCCAAGCCTATTATTTATGAACATGGTAATCAATTGGACTGGCTGCTAATCTATCCAAACGGACACTGGTAGTATCTGTGAGTTTTATATAATTATCGGATCATATTAAAAAAAATACATCAATAAACAACTTTAAATCCATACGCATGAATAATCTACTGATTTAATAGGTAAAGGTAATAAATATTTCGATATATATATCTAACTTTTTCTCTAACATTTTTACGATGTTTCCCCGGCGCTTTGACGTATCCTTATTCAAACGAGATCTGAAGACAATTCTTAACACTTAGCAACTGCTTGGGCTCAGGCATTGCTGACTGCTGATATCTATGAGCGACGGTGATTACTTACCATCTGGTGGCCGTATATTCGCATGCCTACGATTACAACAATAAAAAATAATATCATTAACAACGCACTTTTTTACTTTTTGTTAGGAAGAAAGTTTTACTGGTGGCCCGTTCAGTTTCACCAGGACAGTGCGTGCGCGCATTCAGCCGGGTCTTNTTGGGCTCAGGCATTGCTGACTGCTGATATCTATGAGCGACGGTGATTACTTACCATCTGGTGGCCGTATATTCGCATGCCTACGATTACAACAATAAAAAATAATATCATTAACAACGCACTTTTTTACTTTTTGTTAGGAAGAAAGTTTTACTGGTGGCCCGTTCAGTTTCACCAGGACAGTGCGTGCGCGCATTCAGCCGGGTCTTTTTAACTGAGGTGGTGGAGGTAATAGAATGTCTTTCGAAACACTATTTGGTTTGTATTATTGTCCTCTATCGACCGTACTTTCTGCACTTCTCGATGACTATGCAATCACAAAAATTACGGTTTTTACATTGTATCAAAACACGAGGTATAATTTAATTATATTAGGGCGCTCATTATTGATCTGACAAAACATTTCAGAACTAATAAGTGCCTAGGCCTAGCTCCACGACGCCCTTCACGAGGTCAAGGATCGTAGCAAATGGAGAACAATCGTATAAGAGAGATTGATGCAGCGGTGGAGTCACGACCCTCCTTTCAATGAGGAGAACGACTTGAGGAGGAGGAAGGGTCGAGGTATCATTTTAAAATCATCAAGGCTTCGATCACAAAAAAATATACGCATTCGTAGTTTAAATATATATCTTTGAAGTAGGCGATCTGTAATTCAAATGCCAAATCTAAATACCAAATCTGTACCAAAGAGTTGAAAAATATGGTGGAAAAGGTGTTATCGGTTTTATGACTAAACAAAAATATTAAGCAACATTATTGATATTTTGACTTCATGTCTCGAGATACGTCGTGATGTATATACTGTCCGTAACCAGTAACCACTACGATCCGTAAGCTCATGTGGTGCGAGTTTCTGTAATTCGAACTAAATGGTAAGCCCTATGGTTATTTTACTTTTTCAATATGGCAATCAGATCTTAGAGGAAAGTAATCTGTCAACTGTCACGAAGTCATGAATGTGGTTGTCAAACTTCAATTTGTTTTGGGTTGTTTTGAATTTGGATTACTTTGATATTATAATAAACTTATGAATTAAAGAGATTTAAGAACTAATTAATAGGTAGACATCAGACAGCGAGAACGATGTCAGAGTCTTCTAAATCGAAGTCTTTAAATTTGAATCCTTCGCCTACACTACAATGCAAAGATCTTCACGAATATCTTAAGTCGCGGTCTCCGCAGTTTCTAGAGACTCTTTACAATTACCCCACTATATGTCTAGCTGTATATCGGTAAGTCGCTATTCATAACCTTACCTGTAAGGCAGTAAGACTGCTAGAGGTAATGCACGGAACGCATCCAAATATTCCTAAAACTGAGCTATTTCATACATAATAACTACAAATGAGTCTCGTGTATATATGTCATACGATCAAAGGCACAAAAAATACAGTTGTTATCATTCACCAATGAATATGCAATATACAATAAGAGGTACAGAGTGATTTATTGTTCAACTATTTAATTAATTTGTCTATGACTTGCTAAAAGATAATACTAGTAATCATGTTTTAATTGAATAAAAATATTGTATAATACTAAATTCCAGCGAATTACCAGAGCTAGCACGTCACTTCGTAATCCGCTTGCTGTTCGTTGAGCAGCCAGTCCCACAGGCAGTTGTCACATCCTGGGTCTCGCAGACATATGCCAAGTATGTACTAGTTATCACAATACACAGTAAAAGGTCTTAAAGTAAATGTTGATAATAGCTATAGTTTGACTCAACATGGCTAAACATGGTCCTACAAAATTATATGGATGTGTAGAAGAGTTGCGAGAATTCGAGCACTGTGGTATGTGAAGAATGTCAACCTTCACAAAATCTAAATTAAAAACAGATATGTATGTATCCAGTGGTTTTAGGCCTCTCAAGCATCCATCATCCTCCTCATCGAACTCGTTGATTATGACGAAGAGTTAGACAAAGTAAGCCATAGACACAGCCTGCTGAATTTCTCACCGCATCTTCTCAATAGGTCACGACTCCTATCTGGTGATAGATTCTGTGAAACACTGCTTCCTAGGGCCAATGCTAGCAAACTGTCTTGATTTGAGCCCCTGAGTTCACTTAGCTGTCTGAGCGTAGCTGGAATATCCCAAACTAGCAGGGAATAAATAGGGAAAAAAATAACATTCTAATCGGTTACCCAACAACAGCAGTGCCATATTTAACTCAAATTTCAAAAGAGATTGTAGTACTGATTTTCCTTTTCATAAGATATGGATATAGTTTTTTTTGTGCAAAATGACAGTAACCAACCCTTGAAGCTGTTGAAATTGTTCAATTAAAAGAAGTGAATGCTGCCTTCCCCTACAAATTTGGGAGATAAAAAATAAATAATCATTCTGTAATGCTTTTTAACAATCTCTTGAAATTTAAGTTAAATGTGGCACTGCTGTTGGGTGACTGATTGTCAACGGTACATTGATATATGAATGTGATCCCATGGAGATATGTCTCTATACTACAACTAACCCCCTTCCAAACACCTTTTTTCAATAATGTGGCACTAAGTGTATCTTTTTCCTGGAAGACTCCATACTATTTTCCCATTATCCAAATTTAACCTCAGCTACTTAATTGTATGTGGCAAAAAGTACTGTTTACTACCACTTTTTGCAGCTTCTTTTCTATCACAAAAAGTATTAAAATCTGAGATCAAACCACACTTAATGATGAAGCAGTCAACATTGGTCAGTTTTTCATTTACATAAGCTGTAAGCTTATAATTATAAAAAAAAACAAAGGAAAATGGAACCAATTTAAAAAAAATTTAGATATGGTATTCATTGATTATATTGAGTAGGACCACTGAAAACGATATCAGGAAAAATTAAACTATGTTTCGGATTCCTATAATTTTTTCCAAGAATGTAGACATTGGAAAATATCAACATAATATTATTGTTTTATTTCAAGGTCAAATCATAACATATTCGCAAATTTTAGAAGACAGGGAGTGAATAAGTTTGTCCTTTGATGGAAATAAAGCAATTCTGAAGTCATTATGTAGGCTTAGGATAGAATACTACTTTATTTTAGTGAAATGTAATCTTGTGTCGGCAGTCTGCTCCCGAGGCACTGCTCGTCAAAATACAGGGTTACAACCAGCTGACTTCGCATTTCACTGTCGACACACTAAATGTAAATTTACGAAAACTATAAATGTTGCATTTACTTATTACGTAGTTTGTCGAAGGAAAATATTGAACAGTGTGCTTAGTGCAAGTTTTTTAACGTTCTCGATAGCGTAAAAGTTAGCTCATATTTGTAAGGAATGGAATCGTTTTCCTACGTTTGCCGCTAGGGGTGCTGTTCCAACCGCATACAAAGTTGGGTTAACTTTTACGCTATGGAAAACGTTAAAAAACTCGAACTAAGCACACAAAAGACGCGCCCTAGTCGTCGACCGCGCCAACCGCGTAGACTTTGACCAGTGCAGCTAAACCGCATAAGAATTATATAGCAGTACAACAACATAACCATATATGTATGTACATATTACTAAAACAGTATTATGGATTAAAACCGTTGCTTAAAATTTCAGAGAACAAGCAAAAGCATGCACTACACTGTCAGAGCTCTCCGTGTGGCAGGAGGCGCCCATACCGGGGGGCATGCCGGGCTGGATGCTCGCACAGTCGTTTAAAAAGAACCTCAAAGTGTCATTGCTTGGGGGGTAAGTATTTCTGACTGACTTATCCAATTCAAACACGAAAATTACAAAAGAAAATGTTTGAATTCATTGAAAAAAAATATAGTTTTAACCTTGTCTAAAACTCACGGTATCTTAGATAATACTGAAATCCTTTTGGTATTTTATTTATTAGTACAGGAGTAGGTACAATTCACCCCTGTAATTTAATAAGTATAGGAGCACGTACAGGTCACCCCCTGTGACATCAGACTACCCTAGTTTTATATTTCCGGCCAAGAAGGACACTCGACGCTATCCCAAAATTATATCCATGTAAAGTGACGTGCAACTCTTGAAGAGAGTTCCGGCGGTGGAGTTAGTGCGTGGTCGCACTGAGGCTTGTCGATGTTGGTGCAGAGGCAGGGCGTGGAGCATGTCGTCGTCGCTGGAGCCGGACGGGAAGGCCCGGGACGTGTCGTTCCTGGACGCGTACGCGCTGGAGCGCTGGGAGTGCGTGCTGCACTACATGGTGGGCAGCGCGCAGACCGAGGGCATCAGCGCCGACGCCGTCCGCATACTGCTGCACGCCGGCCTCATGACCAGGTGCGCCCTGTGTTCCATATCAATAACATCATTAGCAGATATTTCTCCAGCACGTGAGAGCTACAAATGTTGTTGGTGGCTGTGGATCATGAGGTGAATATGAGAACAAACCACCAGAAAATACAGTATTAAATTATACTAGTGGCCCACAGAAGTCGAAAATCGACTATAATTATTAATTTAAATTATAAATTTGAACATTATTATGGTTCTATTGTGTATATTACTTCTTTAATTACATATTTTGCCAAGGTTACACTATAGACAAATAATATTAAAGACCAACAATATTAATCTATTCTCGATTAGACCACAGACTTTAGCAGTAAACAAAGAGTGTGCCTGTGCGTGTGCGTGTGCGTGCGTGCGTGCGAATGTGTGTGTGTGTGTGTGTGCGTGTGTGTATGTGTTTATATTATACTATATATTATATTAAATAAAAATCTATATTCCTTCTCTATATTCTCTTATAAGTGTGGGAAATTAGATACTCCTCCGTCCGCATAATTTTCGTAAAAAGGGGTGCAAAGTTTTTGCTTCACGTATTAATATATAGATTAAAAATAAGCCGCTCCGTCCCTAGTGTGTGACGTCACCCGGGTCGTGTAATGTTTCAGAGACGCAGAAGACGGGTCCGCCGTCATCACTCGCGCCGGCTTCCAGTTTCTGCTCCTGAGTACACCCAAGCAGGTCGGTTCAGTGTCTGAGCGATGAGCCCGGCCAGCCCGGCCCTCGCAGGGCGGCGGGTGTGACGCGTGTGTGTGCGCAGGTGTGGCTGTTCCTGCAGCACTACCTGCACACGGCCGAGCGCCGCAGCCTCAGCGCCGCCGAGTGCCTGGCCTTCCTCTACCAGCTCAGCTTCAGCACCCTGGGGAAGGTGACTATAATCATTTTTCCTATGTTCAATTTTTATTGTTAACATGTACGAACGAGCTCACGGCCGCCCGCTGGTCGCCAGAGCTCATAGACAACAACAACAACGTAATTGTTGCCATCCGTTTCAATGCGTTAAATCTTATGAATCTGAACTATACCCATAATATAAACCTTATGAATATTATTCAATCTTAAGAATTTATGTGTCAGTCTCTTTTTACTGTCGCTTTTTTAAAGGTGGCCCGACATGAAAACTCTTGTCGTGTCCGCTGGGAACTACATACCCGATCCTGTAGACCGAATAGTAAATAGTCGAAGTCGCCCTAAATACGTCATTTTGGATCCTCCCGATCCATTAACGGTGCTTTTAGGTACCTCAAGCACAGGTCACCGTCCTCGTTGAACCCGTCGCTTGCGACGAAGGGCTCAACGAGTGAATTAACTCATAGACACAGCCGGACTCGCCGGATCTTCTCAGTGGGACGCGTGTCCGATCCGGTGGTAGATTCTGCGAAGCACTGCTCTTGCTAGGGCCAGTGTTAACAACACTTCGGCTTGAGCCCCGTGAGCTCACCTACAACGTCAAGTAGAAGCTGAAATAGCCTCCCAAGGCTACAAGCACAGGTAAGCAAAAAAATTCGCTTTTTAGTTTCATCGACTTTCGAATTACAACGATGCTAAAGAAGTTTTCACTTCAAAAAAACCTGTTCTTAACGTACCGTATCGTTATCACTCGGAGTCTGCGCGCTGTCCGCCGGAACAACACAATCATTCAAACTACTTGAGCGGCTTATCCCGCGCTGTCTGTTGTCTCAATGTCGTTGTGCTCAATGGTCCAGTAGCCGGGGCCGCCGTCCGCACTGTTACACTGACACTAGAACACGCGGGACTGTACCGTCAGAGCAGACTTCATTACGCCCACAACTCGCGTGCACCTATACAAATCGGACTTTGTTTAAAAATATCATCAATTTAAAAAATATATTCTAATTGCTTTTTAAAATATACAATATAGTTATTTTTTAATCCTCCTCCTCCTTGCGTCGTATTCCTCACTGCTGAGGATCGTGACCACCCTTCTGTATCACCTTCGCTTGCACGATCTTTCTCCACCTATTCTTGTCTCTAGCGGAGTGGAGGGTGTTGTGAAGTGTGGGATCAAGAGCGGTGGGGATCTGGTCGGACCAACGTATCGGGAAGCGCCCCCGAGGCCTTTTCCCATCCACTTAATCATTATTTGAAAATGTTCAATACGATACAATATCTCTGAATATGTGTCCGGATTGTATGTAATATATGTACCTAATGTGTGTATATACTGCGGGATGGACAAGGTCTAAAAGTGTTCACGCTTAGAGTTAAAACTATATTAGTGTTTTGAAATTATCAGTAAGACTGTAATAAAACTGACATCTGAGTCTTACAAAGAGCACAGATACAGCACAGCACAGAGCACAGATATTTAAGACACAGAGTTTAAGTGGTGTGTGGAAAATTATTAAGTTAAAGTATAGTAAGCGGCACGTAAGTTGGCAAGGTTTTGGTGTAGTGGGGGTAATGTCGCGCAAAGTGCACATTGCAACAAAAAATCGTCACTTTTATTGCCCGCATATAATTTTATTTAATTTTTTATTTGCCATAATTTTTTTTTAAGCCTGTGTGCTTAGAAGAAAGTTAAAGAAAAGAGAGGAATGCGTGAAGTGTATTAGGTGTTATAAATAAAATACAATTAAAAGTTAAGAAGTTTATTTAAAAATATATACTTAATATTAAAAATTATGTGTCGCTGTCATCACTATCATTTTCTAATAGTGCTACCCCTTGGATTAAATTCATGGTAGCACCTGAGCTGGTGGAAGGAGTTGGCTCCTCATCGTTGACATAAAGAAGAGTCGCTGTCGTCACTGGCGTAAATAATAAAACACTCAGTGACTGAATCGACTATATGGTCATTGGTCCTGGCATTGCAAACAAATTTAAAAGAATAACACTCGTAACAAAAATTAAATTTAAAACAATAATAACAACTCGTAACAAAAACTCAATATAAACAAAGGGTTCCTACAATTTAGTAGGCGCATATTATGTAATCAGGAGCGAACGGAACGTGAACGCGGTGCGGGAGGGGAGGGTCGACTGATTCACCAATCGCGCGCTCGGAACTGTCCTACGTCTTTCCCCGCGTCCCGCTTGACAACCAAAGAGACCTAAAAAACGACTTCTGCGCATCTAACGACTCTTGCCAAGTTACGTGCCGGGGACTATATTTGTTTGAATGAATTCAATCGTGATGACATTTGAGGTCAAGCATATTTTATAAAAGAAATGTATTGGTCAAGTTCATATTTATTAAAATATTTCATTAAAAATTGGTTTTCTGTAATTCAACGCTCATTTAATATAATACAAAAATAGATAGATGAGGTCTGTTTTATTTTAAATAAAATAAAAGAGTGCCGCGCGTCTCGTCTGCAGGACTACAGCACGGAGGGCATGAGCAACAACATGCTGGTGTTCCTGCAGCACCTGCGGGAGTTCGGTCTCGTCTACCAGAGGAAGGTCGGTGTCACCGCGCCACTCGGGCGTCGCGGAGCTGCCCCGCGCCACACTATATGGCATTGTAACTGTCTGTCTGTGGGCAACCGTGGGCGGGCGGCCACCGGACGTCCGAGTGGCGACTAGGGTCCGCCGCGCGCGGGGACCGAGCCCAACCACTGCCGTGTGTCGCAGCGCAAGGCGGGCCGCTTCTACCCCACCCGCCTCGCGCTCAACATCCTGCGCGTGCGCTGCGCCGCGCCGCTCGAGGCCGCCGCCGGCGCGCGCGGACACCTCGTGCTGGAGACCAACTACCGCGTGTACGGCTACACCTCCTCCGACCTGCAGGTCGCGCTGCTCGGCCTCTTCACGGAGCTCATCTACAGGTGACGCACCCCCCGCGCCCCGNGCGGGCCGCTTCTACCCCACCCGCCTCGCGCTCAACATCCTGCGCGTGCGCTGCGCCGCGCCGCTCGAGGCCGCCGCCGGCGCGCGCGGACACCTCGTGCTGGAGACCAACTACCGCGTGTACGGCTACACCTCCTCCGACCTGCAGGTCGCGCTGCTCGGCCTCTTCACGGAGCTCATCTACAGGTGACGCACCCCCCGCGCCCCGCCTACCCCGCGCGCCCCCCCGCCCGCTGACCGTGCCGCCGTCCGCAGGTTCCCCAACGTGGTGGTGGGCGTGGTGAGCCGGGAGTCCGTCCGCCAGGCGCTGCGCGGCGGCATCACGGCCGAGCAGATCATCCACTACCTGGAGCAGCACGCGCACCCGCAGGTACCGAGCGCACTGCGCCCGTGACGTCACTGCCGCGTCTACTGCAGTGACGTCACGGCCGCTCCGTCTCCACCCAGATGCTGAAGTCAGAGACGGGCGGCATCCGGTCGGCGTCGATGCTGCCTCCCACCGTGGTGGACCAGATCCGCCTGTGGGAGTCCGAGAGGAACCGCTGCGTCTACACGGAGGGGGTCGTCTACAACCAGTTCCTGTCGCAGGTACTGTGGCGCGTTGTGTGGCTGCTCATCTGCGCCGATAGCACGCACAAGCTCGTTCTAGATGAATACATGCCTACCCCGCGTCCCGCAGGCCGACTTCGTGGTGCTGCGGGACCACGCCCGCGCGGCCGGCGTGCTGAGCTGGCAGCACGAGCGCGCGCGGACCATGGTGGTGACCCGGGCCGGGCACGACGACGTCAAGAAGTTCTGGAAGCGCTACTCCAAGAACAGCTAGTGTCGCCACCGGGCCGCAGCACGCGCCTGCTGTCACTTTTAGCAAATAAAATAGTTTCGGAATAAAACGTACTTGAACATAACGAACTATTCTCCTGCCAACCCTTCAATTGTATTCTACATAAGTATAATTGGTATTATAAAAATAAATAAGTTTTTTTTTATTGTTTGCCTGAACAATTTGAAACACTTTTATGTCAAAAAGACATGTCTGTTAAACAAACGTTTTTTATTTATTTTATTTTTATTGCCAGTGTAGGCAGATGAGTGCAGTCCTGATGGTGAGTGGTTACCGTCGCCCCCNCCTGCCAACCCTTCAATTGTATTCTACATAAGTATAATTGGTATTATAAAAATAAATAAGTTTTTTTTTATTGTTTGCCTGAACAATTTGAAACACTTTTATGTCAAAAAGACATGTCTGTTAAACAAACGTTTTTTATTTATTTTATTTTTATTGCCAGTGTAGGCAGATGAGTGCAGTCCTGATGGTGAGTGGTTACTGTCGCCCCCATGAACTTCAACAATGCCAGGGGCAAAGCCAAGCCGCTGCCTACTTCTTCGCACAAAGATTAAATATCTAATGAGTGAAAACAAATATTGTAATAAACCCGGCTCGCACAACGCGGTCTGTACAACGCGGGCGGCCTGATAGAGCGAGATAACACGGTGCACGCGACGGCAGCAGGTCGAGGCACAGCAACGCTTCGCCGGCGCCGCTAGTCCGCTCCCGCTGTGTCCGCATATCAAACAGCTTTTTTGTCTTTGCAATTAAGGTGAAATTTAAAAAAAATCACCGGAATATGATTGAAATATGATATTTGAGCCTTATGTAATGAGTTCAACGAATTTGCTATTGTCTATCTCGATCTGATGTGCTTAACTGTATAAGCGATCTAACAACTTTTGTTGTATTAACTCAGGGCCGTCATCAAACAGTTAAAACAATTAATTAGTTTGTGTATGAAACTACTACATAATTGTGACTTAGAATTTTTTAACATTATTAACATGAACTACATTATTTATAGTGTGGCCACGGTTTGGCTTGAGACAGTCGTTGTGGGACTCCCTGTGTAGTACATGCATATAAACATCTGTAAGATAATTTTGTAAATAAACAATATTTTTTCTAAGATACCTCTTTTAATTGACATAAAATATATTTTAAAACAAGGACAAAATCTAGTTAGTGCGCACATTTAATTACTGTAGCCAGACCAGCATACGTCCCGTGTGATGTCACTCGTGAACATACTACTACTACTGGTGGCAGGACCTCTTGCGAGTCCGCACGGGTAGGTACCACCGCCCCGCCTATTTCTGCCGTGAAGCAGTAATGCGTTTCAACTTGAAGGGCGGGGCAGCCGGTGTAACCATACTGAGACTAGAATATATCTCAAGGTGGATGGCGCATTTGCGTTGTAGATGTCTATGGGCTCCAGTAACCATTTAACACCAGATGGGCTGTGAGCTCGTTCACCCATCTAAGCCATTTAAAAAATAACATGAATGCCAGCGACACAGTCAAGTCATTACCTACTCTCCGCAAACCTCATTTGAAGAAAGACATGTCATATAGCGCTCGGGGAAAATAGTGAAGGTGGGTTCATTCCAGTACTGGGTGGTACGCGGGAGCCACGTCTCTGTATCGCACCGGGGATTTACCCAGCGGGGCCGGCGCCGCGGTACACACTCCGCAGAGCACGACCCATGGCACACGGTACACAAGCTGAGTATCGATACCGAAACTACATACCCGACCCTGTAGACCGAATGGTAAATCGTCGACGTCGCCCAAAGCACGTCATTACAGATCCTCCCGATCCATTAACGGTGCTTTTAGGCACCTCAAGCACCGGTCACCGTCGTCGTCGAACCCGTCGCTTGCGACGAAGGGCTCGACGAGCGAATTAACCCAGACACAGCCCATTGAGTTTCTCGCCGGATCTTCTCAGTGGGTCGCGTTTCCGATCCGGTGGTAGATTCTGCGAAGCACGGCTCTTGCTAGGGTTAGTGTTAGCAACTCTCCGGTTTGAGCCCCGTGAGCTCACCTACACACGCTAGGGTAAGCTGAAATAGCCTCTCAAGGCTAGGCAGGAAAAAAAAGGCATAAGTAGGAAAAAAAAATCGATACCGATGTTATGAATTAAAAGAAAAAAACAACACATTTGCAAAATAACATATTTATTATTTAGACCGCAGTTGTGCAGTACAGAATCCGGAGCCCCGGGGGTCCCTCACACGTGGTTCAGTTCAGTTAATCAAACTACCCTTAGAATACCATTACGCGCCACGACCCGTGTGCTCCAGTGCTGCTACACGCAGGGCTATTCATTTTAGGGTGTAATATTTATTATATGTATTATATTGTACTAGAGGTCCCGCAGTAGTTGAAATTCGACTATAATTAATTGGAATTGTAAGTTTATTCACTATTATGATTATATTTTCAAAGACTATTATACTTCTATAATCACAAATTTCGCAAAGGCTACTCTATAAAAAATATTAACAAAGACAAACAATATTTAATCTATTCTCAATTTGACAACAGACGTCAAGAACAAAAGTTTGACAATATAGTATGCATGCGTGTGTGCGTCAAATACATGGCATGTAGTGTGTGTAATGTTTTCTTTATTGATTTAATGTAACTTTTATGCATTATTTTAAGAAAATATTAGGATTATGCACTTTTCTATATTCTCTATAAGTGTGGGAAATTTCATACTCCTCCATCCGCGTAATTTTCGTAAAACGGGGTACAAAGTTTTTGCTTCACCTATTAATAAAAGATGACAAATGAAACGCTCGTTTAGTAGTTTATCACAATCAATTGCATGTTTATTGAGAAACGTTTAGATACACGAGTGCGTCACGAGTCGGCGGGGGGCGGCGCGGGGGGCGGGGCGCCGGGGGGCGGGCGCACGGGGGACAGCGCGGCGTGCAGGTGCTGCAGCGCCGACCTCACGCACGACGCCAGCGACGGCTCCTCGGGACACCGGACCTCCTGCGACACGCCACACTCTACTGCTGGTAGACTAACATTGTACTAAGGAAGTGCGCATCTAATGCGCGTTCGCTGCGCCACTCCCGCGACGAAGGACACGTCGCGTAACCAAAATTGTAAAAATGTATATTGCGTAATCACTATATAGTTGGGACGGCGGCGACATTCGGGCTCCAGCAACCGCTTAGCATTAGGTGGGCCGTGAATATATTTGGCCCATGTCCAGAATTTTAAAAGCCGAAATTAGGAATGATGGCGCTGACGATGGCCGTGGGGGTGGTGCTGCAACTCACCATGCTCTGCAGGTCGATGTCGGCGCGCTTGTCGTCGACGGTGACGTACAGCTTGTCTCCCTTAAACATCTTCGGCACGGAGTCTTCACCGAACATGTCTTGGAACATTTCTATAACGCACTCCTGCAAGAGAGTAGAGCGGCGTGAGTGAGGCGGGGCGTGGCGCGGCGGGGCATGGCGTGGCGGGGCGCGGCGGGGCGGGACGCGGCGGCGGCGGGCGCGTACCTTGAAGTGCATGCGGTCGAGCTTGGGCGCGAGCGGCGGGTGCGTGGCGGCGGGCGCGGCGAGCGCGGCGGCGGACAGCGCGGCGCCCACCAGCGCGTCGGCGTACATGTCGGCCACGGGCCCGGCGCGCCACTGCAACACGCCCAACTTTTTGTGTAAACATATATTTTAACATTACAATTATTCGCTAACAATTACTTTAAACCGAGACAGTCCCCCGCGCCCCATCCCTCCGCCCGTCCGCTCGGTCCCCCTGCGGCGCTGCGCAAGTCGACACGCGGAGGGACCCGAAACACTTGAAAATTCCGACGAGATGTTTGTTATGAGAGTCTTCCGCTCAACGGCGAAAGGGCGCTCTCTTTTCTACGCAACCGACAGCGGGCCGGGGCGGGGATAGTCAACGTTTAGATAAAGGCGTGGTGTGCAGTAGGACTGCTGAGAACTGTGTACTGACTTCGAGCACTATGGTGCTGCTCTCGATGGTGAGCTCGATGCAGGAGTAGAGGCGCCACCTGGTCTCCGAGAGGAAGTCGATGTGTCCGGCGAGCTGCATGAGCACGTGGCGCAGCAGCGGGACCGAGCCCGCGTACTGCAGCGACTGCCGCTGCGTCACCTCCGACTGGACCAGCTCCGTGTACTCTGCGACACAACACACGCGCGGATATATATATGTTACGGTAAAAGTAGATATTAGGGCAAATGTACACATTTGTCTCCTCGTTTGGGTAATGTGCATTCAACTAGCATTTACAATTTCAAAGAAGGGAAATGTACATTGAATCCACAATGACCATGTCGTTTTGGTAAATGTGAGTATGGTATACAAAATACTAAATCGCAAGTGGTATGATTAATGTGGTGCGCACCACTACAACCTAACCTAACCTACGACATTTTATATAATAAGCAAAGAAAAGTATCTTTTCTTTGTCATTTACATTTTTTTATTAAAACAATTTGCGTTATTAAAGCGTTTTGTATTATGTTTATTAAAATAAATATTTTTTTTACTGCAACAACATTATAATTTTTTTTGTATTTACTGTAACTTTTCTTAAAACATGAAGATAAGAATACATTTACAAAAACGCGAAGGAAGGTAATGTGTACATATTTGTCGAGAAATGTTCATAATATACATTATATTCAGTTCACATATACCTAACTATTTGGCAAATGTGCACATTTATTGGTAAAAGTGTACATTTCCCAAGAGTGTACATTTACAATAACATATATGTGTATACATATATATATACGTTTATCTACGCAATTTCAAAAGTTATGAGACTGAAAAGTTAACGAAAACGACCCAAAGATTTTAGCAATTAATATAAACATATTGAATCATATATTATATATTGTAGCAATAATAATTTATTGTACTGATAAACATGACGCACGTCCTGACCGAGCGTCACGCGCCGTCACGCGGCAAGACACTATGGAGCACACCGGGAGACGGAATGTGAACCTACTGTTGAGGTCTGCGGGCGCCAGAATGTGATAGTTGAAGTTTCTTTTGACGAGGATGCCCTGCAGCTCCTGACCTTCCTTGGGGGGGTCTACCGCCAGGGAACCCATCACCTGCGGGACGAGCAGTGCTATTAGCGCGTGGGGTGAGGGTGCGGGGCGGGGTGGGGTGCGGGTGGGGTGCGGGTGGGGGTGCGGGGGGCGCACCTTGGCGGTGGTGTCTCCGCGGAAGCAGAGCGCGAGGGGCTGCGTGTTGCGCGGCGTGTGCACCAGGATGGCGCCGCGGTGCTCCCGCTCCAGCGCCGCGCGCAGCCGGGACATCTCGTTCTGCTCGCCGTGCACCAGCACCTGCACACCGCGCCCACTGTAGTCGCCGCTACACTGCACTACACTACACTGCAGCCGACACTCACCACGTGCGGCGGCTTCAGGATGTTGATGAACTCCGAGGTCTGCTGGTAGTCGGTGTGCGCCGAGAACGAGATGTAGTCCACGGACATCCGCAGCGGCAACTTCTGACCGGACATGGTCGTGATCTCGTCCGGCTCCGACAGGATCGTCTTCGCCAACGTCCCCTCCACGCAGTAACCTGCCACCGACCTCACCGTGAGAGTGTCGCCACCACAACGTTGTTGTACGCGGACGGATGCTGTACTACTTTTAATAAAGAATTAACATATTTGTATCGGCAATACAACGCGATATATGTATGTACTTTATACTTATAAATTAATTGATAAAATACGCTGCGCTGGCGACGTGTCGCTGCGGTCAGGAGGACGCTCCGGCCGGACTCACCCGCAATGATGACTCCGTTCTTAGGGTCGGTGCACCAGGACTCGAACAGCTCCCGAGACAATCCCGACTGCATCATGCCCGGGGACGCCATGATCACGCACGGCCCTATGTCCTCAAAGTGGTCTATACCCTGGAGTCAGAGACACAATATGCAATAACGAGCTGGATGGAGGGAGCGCGTCGTCGAGAGGCGGCAAATAAAGTTAAATGCGAGAAACACGCGTGTGGTTGACCAGTACGGCCTAGATCGGTGTTTCACAACATGGGACCCACACCCCACAAGGGGGCAATCGCACTAAATTAATATAGAAAATCTGTATTAAAATTATTTTGAATTTCAATTCAGTTTTTTATTATATATTTTGAAATATTACTTATTGTGTTCTGAGAACAATTTCATAGTGATTTCTTCCTAAAATCTATCATTTATGCTTCTTAAGTGAACAAATCAATTACCTAATGCTATGTATGTGGGACATAAAAAATTTTGAAATGTTACAGTTGGACACGGCACAAAAAGGTTGGGAAACACTGGTCTATAGAAATAATTATAAAAAGCCAGTATTCTCTTTTACATTAAACTGATACGGATTTAACACATACGATTAATATGTATGCACATACAATAATCGGTTGACATATGCCCCAGGACAACAGACCCCGCCCCGTACCCGGCGGCTCGGGACTCCCGTGCGTGTNGAAATGTTACAGTTGGACACGGCACAAAAAGGTTGGGAAACACTGGTCTATAGAAATAATTATAAAAAGCCAGTATTCTCTTTTACATTAAACTGATACGGATTTAACACATACGATTAATATGTATGCACATACAATAATCGGTTGACATATGCCCCAGGACAACAGACCCCGCCCCGTACCCGGCGGCTCGGGACTCCCGTGCGTGTGCACTTGTGTGGTTAATCAGTTTTATTAAAATACACATCAGATTTTTTTATTGAAATATTTATATTGTTTGTAGTCGTTATGCATGTGGCTATTGTTATAAAAGTGGTTGGTATACTGACAACGTAAGAACCTTATTGGCGTAGACCTGTAAATAAGAAAATTAAAATGAATATGTTTAAATTTACAAGTGAACTTAACAACAAAATATTATTTGTTAAAATTACCTATTAGTTTTGTATATTTCATTGTTTATAAATTTCTATACAAGAAAGTTCAGCCCAGGGACCAGCACAAATGAGGCACGTCGTAATAATCACGGGTATATAATACAACTTCAACCCAGAATCGATGGAGTCATACATACATACATTGATTGCAAAACATCATGAAATATGGTACTACTAAAACGTATTGTTTAACGTTTCTTTTCTTTCTTCTTAATCAAGATAATACAAATAACTCATTACATTGTGCTTGACAAATTACGAAAAACGATTTTTAATTTATATCAATAAACTAGCGGCCCGGCAGACTTCGCAGTGCCTAAATCGATATAAAAGACCTAAACTTTTTTTTAAATAAACTTAAAACAAACAAAAGGAATCCGTCCGACGGAGGACACATGAAATGAAAAACAAAATTGTTATTTTTGTTTAATTCCGAGCATTTTCATATTTATCTACCTTTTAAACCTTCTCTGGACTTCCACAAATAGTTTAAGACCAAAATTAGCCAAATCGGTCCAGCCGTTCTCGAGTTTTAGCGAGACTAACGAACAGCAATTCATTCTTATATATATAGATAGAAGATAGATGGTATGGTTCAGGTGATTTACGTGTGGATTAAATGGCTCGCGCCAAGGGTCCGGCTCGGCGGCGCGGCGCGTAGTCTACTGACTCCTGTCGTCTGCTGTACTGCCGATGTCAATAACCAAACGGCACGGCGGTGTACTGTACAGTACTGTACAGAGCACAGACCGTGGACGGATGCGACGCAACAAAACAGTTGAAGCTCGTGGTCATATTAAAATACCATTTGAACTCGTTTCTAAAGAGAATTGTTTTACATTTCCGTGGGCTGTCTGTTGAGCCTCTGCTCGTGGAGTTAATTGAAAATATCAATTAAAATTATTTATTTTAGGAATTATGTAATAAAACCCATATTTCTTTTATTTACAACAGAATCCACTGACTTGTTTTCGTGACTATTTTACTGTAGTCAGTTCAACATTACAGTTACGTATTGACCGCCGAGCACAGGCGGGCCGCGCGCGCCAGTGGGGACGAGGAGGGGCAACATTATCAAATAGCTTCTAGATAATGTTCAATTATTTAGGTATTCATTTATATTTCTAAACACGATTTTCAACGTAGGTCGGATGCAAGACCAAGGTCACTTAAAGTCTCAACAAAGATTCTGTTTCTTATCTATAATTTTAAAGTAATTTATTCGATAATTGTATTTTTATGTCGCTGTGCGGGCTGCGGCCAGATGTATATATGATTAGATTACTATTTACGTTATCCGTCTCGAGTAACGTAATCTGTGGCTTGTCAATTCGTCGTCCGCGATAATTAGAGGCGTATGTCGCTTCTAGTCGGTCTAAAATAATTATAATATAGTGATGTTAAGGTTAGCATTGAATCATTTAAGATTTTTAACGACCCGTTATTGAATTAACGAATAAGTTAGACGCCGCGCGTCCACGCCGGTATACTTTTAGGTTACATTCGGGTTTTTTAGTGATATGGTGTAATTTTTTTTTTGTTAGACAGTATTTGTGATTAGTTACTTAGAATTACACATCTCTAAATAACGTTATCAGCCCACAGACGTCCACTGCTGGACATAGGCCTTAAGAAGAAGAAGAAATAACGTTAAGATAAATCAGACCATTTAGTTTTACGTATGCATCCATAATACCGTCCAGGAAACTCCCAAACGAGCGACGCATCTGTTTTGTTTTCATTTCTTTTTATTACCCTATTAGCAGACGAGCATACGGCCCAGCTGATGGTGAGTGTTTACCGTCGCTCATGGACGTCAGCAATGCCAGGGGCAGAGCCAAGCTGCTGCCTACCGTTAAGTACTCTCCACAAGCCTCGTTTGAAGAAGGACATGTCATAGCGCTCCGGAAACACCGCGAGGGTAGCTCATTCCACAGGATGGTACGTGGCAAAAAAAGATCTCTGGAAACGCACTGTGGATGAACGCAGTGGCTCCAGGTAGTATGGATAAACTCTACTCCGGTAGCGGGCGGTGCGATGGTAAAAAATAGATGATGGAATCATCTCAAGCACCACAATCAAAAATATCAGTCAAATTATTAAAAAACCATTTTGTAAAAACATCATCTCGGCCTGGGCGCACAAACCACCTCGTGGTGAACGGTCACCATCTCCTGTGGGTAACAGGGATGCCATACTATCCCGTTGTAGAGTCGGATGTATTTTTATGGTTAGAATCCACCTTTTTCTTATCCTAGGCACACTTTACGTGTGTATTCCTTATAATATGTTCCATTATACTTTGCGATAGATGGTGCATTTGAAAGCTAGACTGATTAGTTGGTTGGAGAACAACCGGGAGTTAGTAGTGGCGCTGTTCTGTCTGCCAGCCAGCTTCCTGTTCACGGTAGCGCTGCAGCTGCGAGCGCACTTACGGAGACTCGTCGCTCGCGCCGACCAGCACGAGAGGGCCGTTAAAGAGATACAGGCTAGGGTATGTTCATTGAGTGATGATCTACTGAGGTATCATCATACCATCAGCCTTCATAATTCCGAGTTCCAGATCAGAGTAGGCGTGTTGACACGGAGCGGTATGATTATTCGTGCTTGACCGCTTATTCTATAACACCAAAAGACAGCATCTGTCAGTTTCCTGCACGCTGTGACCCGTCTTAAGGCTTGTAAAGTGTTTGTGTTAGTTTCGTCATGTCCGAGAGCCACAACTCACTTGATTAACGGGTTGAGACGCTCGTCTACATCGGAAAGTAATGCAAAGTTGTCCCGTAGTCCCGAGGGCGCAACACGACAGAACTTGACAAGCCGACTGGCCACTTCTGTTTATGTAGTTCAATAGTATATTCCTGCCGCCTTAGAAGACCCGTCAAAACTACATTCTGAGGATCAACTGCTGTTTCCGTAATCAAATTACTTTGTAATGTTTGCCGAAAGGGTGCACTGCAAAATACTATTTCCTACAAATATTTCAGGTCCAGGAATGGAACAAGCTTCCGTCACGAGACCGTCGACTGCTGTGCACGTCGAGACCCAACTGGTTGTCTCTCTCTACTACGTTTTTCGAAAAGCATCTCCATCATCGAGTTCCTATACCGCTTTACGACATATTGGAGCTGGATGAACAAGCTATGACTGTCAGAGTCGAGCCAATGGTGACCATCGGCGACATCACAGAATACCTCATACCGAAGGGCTATTCATTGGCCGTCACTATTGAATTGGTTGACGCTACACTTGGAGGTGAAATACTTAATAATTTAAAATAAAAGATTTTCTTTTTAATTTTTTCTTCACGTTCGGTTAGCTAATTTGGTTTTGACTTGCAGGTCTTGCATTCGGCACTGGAATGTCCACTCACTCCCACAAAGCGGGCTTGTACCACGAGACTATTACTGCGTATGAAGTGGTTCTCGGTGACGGGTCCCTGGTCACAGCTGCAGCTGACAACGAACACTCTGATCTCTTCAAAGCCCTCCCGTGGTCGCACGGTAGTCTTGGCTTCCTTGTGGCGCTCACATTGAAAATAGTCAAAGTAAAACCATTCATTAAGATGAAGTACACTCCGGTTGAAGGACAGAAGGAATATTGCAACCTGCTGCGAGAGCTTTCTGGAACGTACGAAAGAGAACCTAAAGAATTCCCTGATTTTCTCGAGGCAACAATCTTTAGTGAGAACGAGGCGGTCGTCATGTCAGGAGACTACTGCGACGGCGACCCGACGGCGCCAGTGAATCACAGCTCGAGGTGGTACAAGCCGTGGTTTTACAAACACGTACAGTCCTTCTTGAAGAAGGGGGAGAGCGTCGAGTTGATACCGTTGAAAGATTATTTACTCCGGCACAACAGAGCTATCTTCTGGGTCGTCGAGGACATGCTCTCATTCGGAAACGACGCCTTGTTCCGATACTTGTTCGGTTGGCTGCTGCCCCCCAAGCCCGCCTTTTTAAAATTCACGACGACGCCGGGGGTGCGAGCCTACACATTCACGAAGCAAGTTTTTCAAGACATAGTGTTGCCGATCAGTGAACTGGAACGGCAGATCGAGATGGCCACGCAATTGTTTGACAAATTCCCGCTGCTTGTGTACCCGTGTAAAGTGATCGATCGCGGTCCATCGTCCGGACAACTGAAACGACCCCACTCTAAGTACTTGGTCCCGGGAACAAACTATGCGATGTTCAATGATTTGGGAGTTTACGGCGTCCCGGGGAAGGTCAAAGAGAAGAAGCCATACAGCCCGGTGACGGCTATGAGAAAGATGGAAGAGTTCACGAGAGAAGTGGGTGGTTTTTCATTTCTTTACGCCGATATATTCATGACCCGAGAGGAGTTTGAGGCCATGTTTGATTTATCTCTGTACGAGAGAGTTCGAAGGAAGTATGGAGCTGAAGGAGCCTTCCCACATTTATATGTTAAAGTCAAGCCAGAGATTGATGTTTTCGCTATTGGTGAAGAGAACGCTGTCCAGTGAACATCTCGGTCGATGCAAACTGTCCACTTCTAGAGGAAATACGTTCTCTCTCGTTTTGGCGTCTACTTTGTGTATCGACTTAATCCTAACGATATAATTACGATGATAATAAAAGTGCAATAGATGTAGATATTTTATTATTGGTGAACTAATCCAGTTCATCGCGGCCTCCTTAATAAAACGAACACTTTGAAGACTTTTTTTTAATTTTGTAAACCTGAACCAAGAGATTGTCTTTAAAGCTAGCAGACATGTTGAATGCACAACGTGGCGCATGTTTGTGAAAATGAATCTGCATCTGCTCTCGTGTGTCAATCACATTAGTTGATTGCTGTTGCACAATTTTATGATTAGACAGAGTTAAAGTCATTTGTGCCCAACTAAACGTGTTTTGCGACAGGGCGGGTATGCTGTGTGAGTGGGCATGTGCGAAGTGTGTGTGGGGGGAGTGCTGTGTATTTGGGTACGTGCGTAGTGTGTTGGGGGTGCTGTGTGAGTGGGCATGTACGAAGAGTGTTGGGGGGGGGGTGCTGTTTGAGTGGGCATGTGCGAAGTGTATTGGAGGAGTTTGCTGTGTGAGTGGGCAGAGGTACTGTATTGGTGGGTGTGCTATATGGATGGGCGAGCGTGCTGAGTGGGCAGTTACCTTCAGGTTGGAGATGTGTCTAAACACGAAGGGGTTGTTGATAGCGATCTGGCGCCGGATGCGGTCGTTCATCGCGTTAACATAGGTCTGGTACACCGCCATGCACTTCTTGGCCAGTGAGGACGCGTAGTATATGGGAATGTCTTGCAGCTCGGGGTGCAGCGACCAGTACTCGTCTGTTGATTCACGGCCACTTCGTTATTTATTGTTGCTGTCGATCAGCGCCACGTACCTGTGCACGTGACCACCACTACTCCGAAATGTATGAAGTTGGATATTGTAAAATTAACAAAACAAAAGAACGATGTGAATAGATTTTAGCGGCCGGGCTCGGCGCGCCGGCACTGCCGCGCCTTGTGAGACAGTTAGGGTAGAGCGCTAGAGGCAGAGAGACTGACCGAGTATGAGCAGCAGCTCCTGCGCGCGGCCCAGCGCGAACACGGGGATGAGGCAGCGGCCGCCGCGCCCCACGATGTCGCTGACCAGCCCCGTGAAGCGACTCTCCCGCTCCTCGCGCTTCTCGTGGATGTGCGTGCCGTACGTGGACTCCTGCGCGGGGGACAACTCTAAGTCTATGGGATCCCGCAGACACTTTGTGAACTTTCTGCCGATCGACCGCAATAAAACCATTTCATTTGATTACATTAAAACTTAATGTTAACATTTCGTTTGCATAAAAAAATATTGAAATACTACACCATATACATTAAAAATATTAAAATGTGGAAAGATTTTGAAATTCTACAGCGTTCGACTCAATATACCCTTTGTGGGAAACCCGGTATATAAACATAGTCCAGAGATGGGAAACAAAACTCAGCTACATCAACATGCAGCCAATCAACATAAACATTATAAATAAGGACAGGGCCCTACTGAACATGACGTCAGTGTTCACACTTGTGTGGCACAAGTTCACTATAATAACTTTATGTAATGAAATTGCAGAACTTTGGATATGTATTTAATATTTTATCCAAATATTTTAAGATTAACTTTTCTTTTCATTTTGACAAATGACACTTGAGAAATGACTCATCTCAATCATCAAATTTTAAAACACTTACAGTAATCAAAACATCAGGATGAACCGTCGGTATCTCTGCAGCCATCAAATGTCTATCCTCTTGTCTTGAAAAATCTCCCGTGTATAATATCTGTCATGATAATCATTTACTTTAATCGAAATCTACATTAAGGACAAACACATAAAAGATTTGAAATCTTAACATCAGATATTTTACAAATTATTTTATTATTTAACATTGATAATGCTTTAAATAAAATATTACCAATATTATTATCAATATTATCGTCCATAATTATTAATAAAACATTTTTTTTCAATTTCATTTCTTTTGCCATCTCCGATACTCCTATACAATAAAACAAGAAATAGTAAATCTCTTCTGTACTACAGCTAAAAAAGCAAGTTATAATACATAAAAATATTATTAATAGAATATTAGAAATATTACCCTCCCTCTCACTTGATAAGTGCCGAAACCACTTAGAATCACACGGGCTGTATACTTTGTGCAACATAAATGAATTCACGCGATGAAATACCAAATATGTATAACATAAAAATTCTAAGGCCCAAATTACCTTGACTCCAGCTATTTCAATCATAAACATGGCTGCTCCGAGTACATGTCCAGCATTGTAAGCCCAAAATTTGACACCCCGTACATCTCTTTCTTCATGGAAGTTTATAGTTTCTATTCTGTCCATTGAATTTTCTAGATCCGATTCCGTATACAACATTTGTTCTGTTGATATGTTGCTGTAATTGATTTGGGTTACACATATCAGTTCAAATCGAAATTATGTATTTATATTTTTTTAAGTATTTTGGCCCTGTTTAGCCTTACGAAACAATTTAAAACTCACCTAACTTTAATATAATCAGAAACGAGCCATCTGTAGATAGCCTTAGTGGCATGTGTCATGAAAACTCGACCTTTGAAGGAAGTCTTCGTCAGGAACCACGGAAGGGCTCCACTGTGGTCCAAATGAAAACTAGAAAGAAACATTTAGAAATATACGTATCTTAGATTTATTACCAATGTGGCATCATTTTTTCCACAGGGTTCTATTGGCTAATAGACACATAAATCACTACATCTATCTTTTTAATTCTATTCTCGAAAATAACAATCAGACAGACATGATGCATTTTATAAATTGATTTAAACTTTCATGGCCGTCTACATTACACACATATTATTAACTGGATCCATGTGACAATTTCTACATTTAATTAGTTTTATATATTTTCGTGTTGTTGCAAGTGACGTCAGCTTTAAATTTAGTAAAAATAATGCATTTTCAAAGTGTTCAGAAAAAAACTGCCAATATCAAAAATGTGTATTATCTGGGAGAGTCATCAACTTTCATTGTTAACACACAAAATCGGACTTGAAAGAGGATAGACAGATTAGGCTGCTTATACCTTCCAACCGCCATCTTCCTGCCTACCAGCCTACCTGTAATAATGGCACTTACAACTCTGAATATCTGGAACTTTTACAGCTATTGCTAAGATTAGAGGTTGAGTTCAGGACCCACATGGTGCTAAGTGCTTACCAAAGCCCTTAGACATCAGCAACATATATGCAACATGCCACCACCCACCATGAGATATGAGTTCCGAATCTTAGTTTTACAGCCTAAAGGATGTCCCATCATAAAAACCAAATCACATTACTGCTTCACAGCAGAAATTTGCAGGGCGGTGGTATATATCTGAGCAGGCTGACAAGATGACCCTCCATCAGTAATTACCAGTGTTTGGTTTCTATGACACAATGTTATTCCTTCACTATAGTCATTTATGAACATTTGTCAAGTACGTTTAATATTTCATTAGAAAAATTGGTACCATGGTCTGTGGAATTTAAACACTGGCACAGTACTCAATACGAATGCACCGGGAGTTTTATATATTTTTATACATAGTACCACATATTCTGTATTAGGGCAGTGTGTAACGTACAGTTAGTAGCGCCGGTCATTCTCGGTGTGCTATAAATCGCGCAATAAATCATTAACTACCAATTGACTTTAATTTCTACACACTCCTTAATAGGTGACTGCAACCCAATATACACATCACCTAGAATACTTTAGGCCTTTCAATAGAGGGTGTTTATAAATAATAATAATAAATATTTACTAACAATCACGCCGCGTTAACTAGTCCCATGCTAAGTTCGTAAAAATCTTGTGTTACAGGTACCAGATAACGGAAATATATGTAAGATATTTATCATAGACATACATATATTTAATATACTTCCATAACACTGGAAAAGACGTTTTATATTTATCTTACAAATATCTTCCCTTGGCGGGATTTGAACCTGCGACCCCCGTGTGTAGTGACCATGTCACTCACCACTACACCAGACAGCCGTTAATAAATGGGTGATTATTGTATTTAAGACCAGACAGATAATTGCTGTTCATCAATATGGTTTTATAAAAACATACTTACTGTGAAACTAACAGAAGATCCACTTCGTCTGCCTCTATAAGGTCTATGAAGGGTAGGGCGTCCATTCCAGACAAACCAGGATGGATGCCACAGTCCAACTAAAAAAATATGAATATTTTTGTCCATAATATTGTAAATTTTAAAATATATACTTCTTTTGAATTATATAACTTAGCCACAATGAATGTCTATACTATGTGAATATTACAATATTGCTATAAATACTGTAAAGGGCACATCACTACACACACACATAATTGATATATTACACCACTGCCTCATCTTGTCAAACCTGAGAAAGTGAATGTGTACAGTTCTGGGGCCATACTTTAATACTGCAAAACATGAAATAGGAACATGAAACATAAACTAACCATTATCTTTTTCCCTTTGAACTCCAACATGATGCATGATCTGCCAACTTCTTGGCCAGCTCCACTGAAAATATATTTTCTAAGCTTCAATTTTTTTAAGCAAACATGTTATAGTATTACTGTATTGTTTTATTAATATTAGCATCTAAGCCAGTTCATAACATTGAATTTTTATTACTTTTTTTGTTAATTTTGAGTGTAATATTAAGTAATAATAAAGAAGGTGTTTAAGGAAGCTTAAAGTCTGTATTGTTTTGAAACTTGTTCACATTAATTATTTTACTTACAGTGGTCTTATTGTCAATTGATCGCTTTCCTCCGCAGGCACTGGATCAGTGCCTTTTCTTGGATTTGTAGTCATTTTGTTTATTTACAAATATTCATTTACAGGGATTTAACCAATAGCTTAATCACAATAAGATAAAACTTTGTGGTGTTATATTATAAGTGACGATTAATCAAATAACGTATAATAACTACCATTAAGATTTACTTTATAAGTTAGAATCAGTTCCTGTAATCCAGTCAGTTACAATTTAGAAACATGTTAGGTTATGGTACGGTACCGATTTTTTTTCTTCTCCAGTAGTAGAGTAGTAGTAGTTTTATTTTTCTAGCTGGATAGGCAAAGGTATAAATCATATCATACAACCTACGAATAACTGATAAGTTATTATTTATTCGTAGCATACAACTTAATCTTTTATAATTTTTTAATCAAAATGATATGAAGTGAAATGAAATGAAGTTGATTAATTTGGAACATTAATCAATTGTCACGAAATAAAATGAAATGAAATGAGATAAGATGATATGGGATAAAATATAATCTCAGTAATATGGTGGTTATATTTACTGAGACTTTTTGACCCACAGACATAGGCGACTGAGTTTCTCGCCGGATCTTCTCAGTGGGTCGCGTTTCCGATCCGGTGGTAGATTCTGCGAAGCACGGCTCTTGCTAGGGTTGGTGTTAGCAACGTCGTTAGGTTTGAGCCCCGTGAGTTCACCTACTAGTTAAGGTTACGCTGGAATAGCCTCTCAAGGCTACCAGCTTAGGTAGGAAAAAAAAATTAGACTTTTTGAAGGATCCCGAGAAGCTACGACCAGCGGCTTTGTTTCATTTTCCCACATTTGTGCACTTTCACAACAGTTAAACAGATATTAAACAGTTAATAAACCACCGTTGTTACAAATTTAAACCTGAAGAAACACTAAATAGACAAAACTAAACAATTCATACAACTTCACTCTTCGCATTCCCGCCAAAAAAGTATTTTTCTTCTCCAATAAAACAAAGCCCCCCTCACAGATTATTAAAATAATTAAATACGAGTAGGGTGTAGGTATAACGACGAAAGGAAGATGTTCCCCCGAGCGGGTGATATTGCTCGGTAGACCGATAATCCGAATGTTGTTGTTTGGAACTTGTTTATATGCAAGCTTATCTTGAAAAGGTCGTAAGCGAGATTCAGGCATTTGACAAATATCTTGTGTTATCTGATAGCTACCGCCACAAGATATGTAATAATTACTAGCTAACCCCGCAAGCATTGTTTTGCCTTAAAAAAAGTTTCTAAGAAAGATAAATTAACCTAGATATCGACTGCAGCGCCATCTGCCGGGCTGATTTGTGAATCTAAACCATCCAGGACACCACCCAAACACATACAAAAAAAATCATTCAAATTGGTCCAGCCGTTTAGGAGGAATTCAGTGACAAACACACGCACAGAAGAAATATATATAAAGACTAACTGACCCGGCAGACTTCGTAGTGCCTCAATCGACAAATAAAAGACCTAAACTTTTGTATAAAATAAACTTAAAACAAAAAAAATCAATGCGTCCGACGGAGGACACATCAAAGGGAAAACTAAATTGTTATTTTTATTTGATTCCGAGCATTTTCATATTTATCTACCTTCCTTTTAAATCTTCTCTGGACTTCCACAAATAAAGACCAAAATTAGACAAATCAGTTCAGGCGTTCTGAAGTTTTAGTGAGACTAACGAACAGCAGTTCAATTGTATATATATATATATATAGATAAAGATAATAAACAAAAGATTACGCTTATGGTATGATACCTTTGCTTTTCCAGTTGGAAAACTAATACTGTCAAACTGTCAACATAATAAATATTGACAAAATACACGTGTGCTAATGAAATTTATAAATTTACAGCTAATGAAATAAATAAGGGTTGCATTCATTGAAATAATTGTAATGCCGAAGCAGAAGTTGTTTGATGAAGATTCAGCGGATGAGGTCACATTTAAAACTGAAAATGAATACGCAAAGAAGTACGATTCGTGGCGTGAGAAGGAAGAATTACATAAATGTGAGGAGTCTAATTTAAGTTCTCTGAGTTGTTTCAGAAAACCAGAAGTGTAAATTATTACATTACATATTATAAAATATTGCTATTTACTGATTAAAATGAGGTTAATTCAAAATTATTGAAAATCTTGACTCCATTTGACTTGTGAGCAGGCAAACTGCTGTCAGATAAATAAACATCAGTGAACACTAGATGAGCTGCCTCTGCTAAGTTTGACATGACAAGACGCCGTCGAATCCAATAATAGCGTTGTATATTCATCATGTCAAAGCCCCAGTGTTATTCTAATTTTTAATTAGCTGAGTTTCATTGATATGTTTGACTCTCGAAATGAATTTTTCTATTTATTTTAAATTAAATTTACTGCAATTTCTGCAGTGTTAAATGAAATGAAAATCATAAACTACTTCGGTTATTCTAGTTTTTATATTTCCAATGGTGTTCAGTATCATGTGGAAGGGAAACCCGATTTGGCTCCTAAAATCTTGAGAGTTTTCAATAGATCAAAATGGTATTTCGTGCATAGACAAAAACTTTTATTGGTGTTGCTCACAACAGTTAGCAAATGTGGATGTTCAAGTGGTTTCTTAATTTGGATTTTTTAGTGGAACAAAAATATGGAGACAAGGTGCTCAGCTCTGATATCCTAATGTCTTCGGATAGTGAAGATGAAAGTGATGGGCCACCCGAGGTGTCTGAGGAAATGGAGAGACAATTCCTTAAAACTCTTGCACTACTGAAAACTAAAGATCCCAGAATATATAATCCAAGCTTTAAATTCTTTGAAAGTGCTGAAACAAAAGAGCCAGGTAAAATATTTTTATGTTGATATATTCTCAAAACCTTTAATTAACTATAGAAGCAAAATTTATAAAAAATGTAGATAATAAATTATAGCTTACATTTAGATTAAATTATACTTAAGTTATAAGACATTTGTTTTAAACAATATTATATTACAATTAAATAATAATATTATTATATATAAAGGATATAAATACAAATCATACATAGGAACTGAAAAAGATCACATACTTAGAGCAATAGAGGAGCATGATAAAAATATAGGCAAATATTCAATATTTAAAGAAACACGACCAAATCTAAATGAAATAGGATTACAGCAAAATAAAAAATATACAGACAAAGAATTAAAAAATGCAGTAGTTAAGACAAAAATAGATATAATAAAAGCGAAACCAATTAATTAATTTTACAAAACATTACTAGAAAAAGAAAATACCGACAGAGCCCAATCTTTCCAATGGTTCAAAGGCAACCGGTGTCTCCAACATTGGAATCAGCTATTGATCAGAAACTGCAAAAATAACACAATTCATCTACCATGCCAGTTCAAACCGACATCACAATAGACCAGACATTATTTGCATAAATAAAACCGAAAACAAAACATACCTCATAGATGTTACAGTTCCCTCAAACTACAATATAGGAGCAAAAGAAATAGAAAAGCTAAGTAAATACCATGCACTAAAAACAGAAATAACCAGATTAGGGAAAACACACATAGAAATAGTACCAATAGTAATAGGAGCAACCGGAATAATAGCCAAAAGTCAACAGAGATACATAGATAAACTAGACACGAACATCAATACACACATTCTGACCTGACAACCTGACTGACTTAAATAAAATATCCTCATAAAAGTATTCCCACAAAAGAAGGATTGTTTTCAATTACTTTTAGAAAAGGAGCCTAAGACAAAAACTTTAACATTTGCTGACAGTGATGATGATGACGACGAGGATGATGGCAAAATATTCACTATTGAAAAGAAAGCACTAGAACTTGATACAACAGAAGATAAACCTGAAAATAATATCAACCATATTTCTGAAGTGAGTATGTAGATAAAGTTACAAATATAAAAATATGTATATGTATAAAATTATGTCTAGTCTGTAGAAATCTTCATAGTGAATATTACATGTAACTCTATTGATGTGAAGGTTCTAAGTTGTACATTCACCTTTGCACACAAGAGCTGATTATAAAACTTATTTTGGTTAGCCAGACCCAATCATTTGAATGAGAAGCGTTATATAAGGGTTATATATAAATATGATTTCAGGTTTTTCACACTTTCTTTTTTCCTACCTATTCATCAAATTGTTTTTTGCACTCTTCGCCTCAAAATGTAAGACAAGTATCTAAACAATTTAATTACATTGTTTTGGTTGACAGGAAGGTAAACTAAAAGACTATCTAACAGGCAAATCAGAGCACATAGACAATGCAGTAGAGCAAGAACTGGCACCATTGAAAGCTTTGTGGTCTGATCCTAACTTAAATGAAGGGGAGGCCTTCTTGAGAGATTATATACTTAATAAAAAGTAAGTGAAATCCTTATCCTTTGTATTTAAAATGTGGAACAAATTCTACAGTAGTCTGGTATAGTTATCCAGGTCATCTTCTATTTAAACTTTTTCAAACCTGAAAAAAAATCCTGCGAGGGTGTATTCAAATGTAAAATAATACAAATCTGCTTTGGCAGATTATCTAGGAGTAAACAAGATGTTTGATTAATTTATTTTTAAACTGAATTGCAGCATTGAATTCTTTATTATCATTATCACAATTGAATTCTACAAAACGCAATAAATCGAGGTAGCANGGTCATCTTCTATTTAAACTTTTTCAAACCTGAAAAAAAATCCTGCGAGGGTGTATTCAAATGTAAAATAATACAAATCTGCTTTGGCAGATTATCTAGGAGTAAACAAGATGTTTGATTAATTTATTTTTAAACTGAATTGCAGCATTGAATTCTTTATTATCATTATCACAATTGAATTCTACAAAACGCAATAAATTGAGGTAGCAGGATTTTTTTCTTCTTGTTTTTTTTGTAGCTGCTTAACGTTAAACAGTTGTGTCCAGTAATAATATAACAAACTTATGTATTCATGGGTTTTGAAATGAATTTAACTGTTTTAAACGTTTTTTTTCACTAAATATCCTCATATCAGATATTTGGATGAGGGAGATGTAGGAGAAACATTAGACAAGGTTCGAGATGATGATGATCTGGAGGCGGATGAGAAGATGGTTGAGGAACAGGGCAAGTTCGAGAGAGCATACAACTTTAGGTTTGAAGAACCCGACCAAGAGTATGTGAGTAATATAAAATAGAAACATATAGGTACTAGTCTCTACATATCTCTGTCAGCAAACAAACAACTACTTGAACTGTACAAATAATTATATAAATCTTGCTGTTCACTCCAAATTGAATCACACTTAATTGATCAGAATGTTTTGGACTATAAGAAGAGTTCTTCCACTCAAATTCAAATTCAAAATCATTTATTTCAACTTAGATGTCAGTATGACACACTTGTTGAATGTCAAAATACAAATAACAATGCTAACTCTACCACCGGTTCCAAAAAAAGCCACAGTCCTGAGAAGAACCGGCGAAACAAACTCAGCGGGGTTTTTTGTTTTTTCTTAAATATTTTCTTTTTTTTTAAATAAATAAAAATATTTACAATAGAGGAAAAAACAAGTTAAAAAATACAATTAAAATAATAATAAGTATAATTATAATATAATATAATAAAATAAGTATAATATAAGTATAGTTCGCCGGTTTCTCTCCCAATAGTCCCTAACGCTCCGGCCGATTGTTGCCCACCTCGCCGGAGTGTGTCCTGCCGTCTTCCCAGGCGTGGCAGTGTTTAATACACTATAATAATAATGAAAAATGAAAAGGCCAGGAGCGAGCGCCTCATTCCCACGTAGTGTGCCATCTAGTAAATAATCCTTAACTTTATAATATGCCTTGTTGCACAAACGTTGCTTGACAGTTTTCTTAAATCTATGAAGAGGTAGTAATTGAACGTTTAGTGGGATCTTGTTGAAAAGCTGTACACCCAGCCCCCTAAAAGAGTTGCTTATTTTCTTAATTCGAGCCGCCGGCAACGCAAGCCTATGTTTGTTCCTAGTGTTCACATTATGCAAATCGCAGACTTTGGGGAATTCTTCAATGTTTTTACGCACGTACAATAAATTTTACTGAAATTTAACCTACATCTACACGGCCAACACCAATTATACTGACTCTTAAAAGCACACACAATGGTTGTTCGGATGATATTATTTAGGGACAATAGAGCCACTTCCCACACAATAGAACACCTCATTATTTATATGTTTGATACATTATGATATAGAACATTTGAAAGTGTCTAACATGATGATTCACCTCGCTTTTAGCTCAAACGTTTCCCGCGCACAATGAACTACACGCGGCCCAAAGACGACCGCCGATCTCGCAAACGTGCCGAGACCAAAACCAGGAAAGAGGAGGAGAAAAAGAAAAAAATGGAAGAGATAGCCAGACTGAAGGCTCTCAAACTTAAAGAATTGCAAGAGAAAATGGCCAAGATAAAAGAAGTCACCGGGAATGAGGATTTGGCGTTCACCGTAAGATTTGATTATCCACCTGCCAGTAGAGTCACCGGGTAGTCGCATCAATCGACACTCGGCAACTAACGTAGTGAGATTACGCACTGGTGGGGCCGGGCCCCCAGCAGCCTCGTGCTGTAGCCTACAATCTCACTATGTTCGTGCGACTATCCATTACCTAATGTAATGTGCATAACTGACAACTGTATTTAGTTGAGGAGCTAAGGTCGGGTGCGGCGTCCGCAGGAGGAGGACGTGGAGGGCGAGTGGGAGCCGGCGCAGCACGACCGCCGCATGGCCGCGCTGTTCGACCAGCACTACTACGCACGCCCCGACGCGCGCCGCCCCCCCGCCTGCCCCGCCCTCGACCTCGAGCTGGAGATAGGTGCGCCCCAGAGCTCCTTCAGCTCTTCCACAGTGTCAGTAATTTGATCTAATCCCATCAACTTTCTTTTATAGAGAATTGGGAGAACTACGAGCCGGAGGGTGGAGCGTCGCACCCTGCGCCGCACGACGCGCCGCACTGCGAGGACCCCGACTTCAACGTCAGTAGCCGCCCCTCCGCCCCGCGCACCGCATATACACACTAGCGACTGTATAGATGCTCCCATTCAAATAATGCTGTTGCAGATGGACGCGGACTACGATCCGAACGAAGCCAGGACGAACCTTGTAGAAGAAATAAAACGCAACCTCGGCAACAAACGAAGGAACAGAAAGAAAAAGTCCAAACTGGCGGAGCTGTTGTCCGGGGAGCGGCCCACGTACGTGCCGGGGGACCTGCCCTACGCGCGCTTCATGGAGCAGTACTACGGCATGGACTGCGAGGACGTCATCGCCGGCGACCTGCCCACGCGCTTCAAGTACCGACAAGTGCTGCCCAACGACTTCGGGCTGTCGGTGGAGGAGGTCGCTCTCACGTCCGCACCGAGCCTCACTCCCGCCCGCCTGTTCATTAACTCTATTATAAAATGTTATGATTAACAGATTCTTCTGGCAGACGACAAAGAGCTCACGCAGTGGGTGCCGCTCAAGAAGATAGTCAAGTATCGACCTCAACACGTGGAGAAGGGAGACCTCAATACCTACGCAGCGAAAGCGGCCGATATCAACTTGAAGAAGAAAATATTACCGAGTCTCTTCAAGGATTTACCCGAGTCAGTGTTTACTGTTAGTTCCGCTGCCCGAACCCAAACTACCCCACAGACACAGCTCACTGAGTTTCTCGCCAGATTTTCCCAGTGGGTCGCGTTTGCGATCCGGTGGTAGATTCCGCGAAGCACTGCTAGTGTTAGGCCTAGTACGAGTATTAGCAAATTCTTTTAGATTGAGCCCGTGAACTCACCCACCCGTCCGGGTGTAGCTGGAATAGCCTTTTAGGCTACCAGCGAATAGGTAGGAAGAAGTAGGAGATATTAATACTCATTAAATTCCAACACTAAAGCCTTCGTCAAACAGAACGCGTACTTAGCGCCGCGTACTTAACGTCGCGCTCTTTTCGTGTCACACAAATTGACTAGATAAGTCCAACGCTCCTTGACGCAACGCAGTCGCCAAATCATAGTGCCTTTCGATAGCAGTGTGAAAATTTAAAAGTATGAAGATGTCGAGTGATTCAGATACGGCATTGTATAAGCATGGATGTTTTCTAACTATTCCTATAATTTTCTCGGGCATTATCTAGTATTTTAATACACATTAACTCGGACGTTAAAGTAAAATTTGTAAAAAATTACAACCCCCGACGTCAAAGCGTCCTAACGCCGCGACAGAGCGCTGCGTACTTATAGCGCTGGGGCTCTGTTTGACGGTATGTTACCACAGTATTACAACACATCTCGGCGTCATAGCGCGGCGTTAGTTTAGCGTTCTGACGCGCGCTAAGTACGCGTTCTGTTTGACGAAGCCTTTAGGGTCTGTTCTTCCACTTCACCTACACCAGGTACAAATTGTTTAGGTTTTATTGAAAATGTTTTAAATTATTTTTAGGTGATTCAAACAATGTCTTGTTGAATTACCATTCTGTACTGTTTCAATATGTAATCTAATTAAAATACTCTTCTGTCATATGTGGTATACTGCTAACAAATCAGTTCTCTTCTCTTTAGGGAGCCAGAAGTAATCATACCAGAGCAGAAAGTCAACAAAAAGAAAAAGAAGAAGAAGAAAGATAAAAGTAAACAACATAATGCTGAAAATGTCGCAGATGAAAGTGGCCACTCTGTGCACGAGAACGGAGAGCACAATAATACACAGAATGCAGAGGAACAGGTACTAGATAACAACGAAGAACCTACTTCTTGTCATATAAAAGGAAACAGAAACAAAAAGAAGAATAAAGCACAGGACGAATATATAGAAGACACCACTGAAAATGTTGCAGAAGGTAACATAAAAATAGAACTTAGTTCTACTAAAGTAGGAGTCGAAGATAATGTCATCAAGAAGAAAAAGAAATCTAAACACAACAGTAACAACTTCACTGTTGAGGACATCACCGCCGCGCAGCCGAGCCAGCTGGGCGGCCCGCCCCCGCACAGGGCTGCCAAGAGGGAGCTCCGCGGGCTGCCGGACTGCAATGAGCCTTGTGCAAAGAAAACAAAACTCCAAAATATCAAACATAAAAATAATTTTAAATCTAAATTTAACCAAAATAGACACAGCGATAAATTAGAAAATATTTCCGACAACAGACTAAAAGCTTACGGATTGAACCCGAAGAAGTACAGGAATTTCTTGAAATATAAAAAATTTTAAAAGTTTGTGAGGTGATTCCATCCAAGCAAACTGTGCTCGCTCCAGCGCGCCGCTCTCCGCACACACCCTCGGGGATTATTATAACCGATAATAATGTTCTTTTTTTTTCATAGTTAAGTGAACAACAATATTATTATGACCAATATAAAGGTTAAAATATTTTAGCTTGGCAACTTTTATGTAATGAAATTGTTCAATGATACGGTGTACATCATGTAAATAGAATAATTTTACAAAAAGTTTGCATTATTTTAATATTAGACTCCTTATCCCAAAAATGTTAATCGAGTCATTTTGGCTTAGAAGGTGAAGCTCGATATACTCTTAAAATTGTAATCATCTTCTCATTACATTTTCGCTCAACCATATTCGACGTTAAACAATTTTCCGCCTATAACTATAATGACCGCTTTTTTTTTTATTGCTTAGATGGGTGGACGAACTCACAGCCCACCTGGTGTTAAGTGGCTACTGGAGCCCATAGACATCCACAACGCAAATGTGCCACCCACCTTGAGATACAAGTTCTAAGGGCTCAAGTATAGTTACAACGGCTGCCCCACCCTTCAAACCGAAACGCATTACTGCTTGACGGCAGAAATAGGCAGGGTGGTTAGAAGACTGAAGAGAGCCGAAGTGCTATTGCACTAAGAAGAGACTGAGCCCCACTTAGCCCTTTTCGCAGATGATACGGCTATCCCTTACTCGAGTAGGAAGATGTCGTTCATGCATAGTAAACTCCGCATCGACATCAACCCCACGGAAAGCACAGCCGTGCTCTTCAGAAGAAGTCGCCCTATCGACACTACCGATAATATCTCGTCACCAATTGGGCGCGGTAGCACCATTCCCGCCATAAAAATCTTTGGCCATACTCTCCACAGAGGGGATGATATTCGGGCCCCACATTAGGCGACCGAGTCGCGTTTCTACTCGATCGACTCTACCCCATAATCTGCAAGCGAAGTAAATTGTCCTTTCACAACAAGGTGACCCTCTACAAAATTTGCATACATTCTGTCATTACTTATGTAATACCGGTCACTCACATTCGCACGAATACGCAAACCCGCAAGTGTAGGACGGCGTTTGCAAATGATTAAGCAAAGTTTTCGCTGCATTCGCAGTTTTCCAAGCTGTGTCGGTTTTTTAATGGACATCAAAGCGCGCGAACCGCGATCACTCGTGTAGTCTCCCACACATTCGTGTGACCAGTTGCGCCAACGATTGCGAAGGTAACGGACGTTTCACCATTTTCATAGTTCGTGACATTTACTATATAGCGTACCTTCATCATGGATTGGAACAGCACCAAGGTGATGAAGTTCATTGAACTCCTGCAAAATGAATTAACCTTAAGGGACCCTCAAAAGAAATCCCATAAAAACAGAATGGCCGTTAATGACGCCTGGGAAAGAATTAAAAACTATCTTTCTTTGCAATGTTCTATTGGCAAATTAAAAAAGAAGAGAAATTCGTGAGACATTCGCAAACAACTGTAGGAGGAAGCGCAAACGGGTTCGCAAATTAAGTACCGAACCCATTTGCACAGCCGCTAAGTTTGCGAATGAACGTTTGACATTGTACGAACGTTTGCGCGCATGTGAGTGGCCGGCATAAGTGTAGTCTTCACTCACACGACCCGTAAAAAAAATTTAAAACTAGGTACTGACTTTTTGGCGGGAACGCGAGTTTGTTTTATTTTGTCTATTTAGTGTTTCTTCAGGTTTAAATGTGTAATAACAGTGGTTTATTAACTGTTTAATATCTGTGAAAGTGCAAAAATGTGGGAAAATGAAACAAAGCCGCTGAATGTAACTTCTCGGGATCCTCCAAAAAGTCAACTGAAAAAATTTCAGTAGATAACCACCATTTCATTGAGATTATATTTCATCCCATCATATCATCTCATTTCTTTTAATTTCATCCCAGTTGATTAGGGTTTCAAATTAATCATCTTCATTTAATTTCATTTCACTCCATATTATCATTTTTCATAATAATAAGAATATAAATTATAATAAGATATAACCTAAAGGTCTTAGTTACCAGGTCATAAAATCCCTTAGAAAAAAAAACTAGGTACCTATCAAAAGCCACCGTTCATCACTTCTTTTCTAATTCTTATCGGCGAGCAGTGCGTGCGAGGTGAATATTATTTTGTTATTTGCTGAAATACTGATGTTAAACTTAGTGGAAAAGTGATAAATAACGTTTGGTTTTAATAATTTCGATAACGGTGATCAAAATTTACCGATGAAACAGGATTTGACACACAATCTTAACCTAAACTGCCTTTCAGTAGATCATGGCGTTAAATTATTTACGTTTATGAATGGACAATAAGGCGAAAGTAGTGCCCCAATTAATGACTCCCAAGCGTACTCAACTCTGGAATTATGACTTCTAATTCTAGATATTTACGTTTGCAACAATTAGTGGCAACAACCTGTCTAACATAAGTATCTGGTATTTACAGTTTTCCTTCGTCAATATAACGTTATGAATTTGTTCCGTAATTTAGCTCGCCAAGATGGTGAACAACAGAGTACCGTCGGTATTTTCAAAGACGTACGTGACACCTCGTCGTCCTTTTGAAAAGGCACGCCTTGACCAAGAGTTGAAGATCATCGGAGAGTACGGTCTCCGCAACAAGCGTGAAGTATGGCGCGTCAAATACACGCTCGCTCGTATCCGTAAGGCTGCTCGTGAGCTCCTCACCCTCGAGGAGAAGGACCCCAAGAGATTGTTCGAAGGTACTTAAACCAATTATTTCATCAATGGATACAGCCAATTACCATGCAATTGTAGCTTCTCAAGACTTCGTCTCTTGGTACGCGTGGCGGCATTCACATCGCTTTAGTAACTAACTTTGACCAGTTCAGCTGTGTCCGCACATCTAGGACGGAAAAAACTTAAACATGATGAAAATTGTTCTGGCAACCTCTTATCAGATTACTCTTGGTGACCATAAATTCACTGATACATTCTCAACATTAGCATAATAAGCTTTTTCGAAACAAAATATGATTTTACTGAAACATCTAGGTAATGCCCTTCTACGTCGTCTGGTTCGTATTGGAGTACTGGATGAAAAACAGATGAAACTCGATTATGTGCTTGGTCTGAAGATTGAGGACTTCTTGGAGCGTCGTCTGCAGACGCAGGTGTTCAAAGCTGGCCTGGCGAAGTCCATCCATCATGCCAGAATTTTGATCCGGCAAAGGCATATTCGGTAAGATTTTCAAAAGTAGCATACCATTAATAATCTGCACCTTCTCAGTATCTCATAACATGGTAAAGAAATAGTAAATTGTAAATTTGTAAAAGCAACACTGCAAAAAGCTATTAGTAATTGACATGGAGGCCTGAATAAAACTTACTGACATTTGGCATAACAATTTATATATGTACTTAGTGTGTATATGTATCATGTTTAAATTTTTGATTGTACAAACATGAAATTTAAACTAATGCAGGTGAGATAACAGTGGCGCTCTAATTGCTGCTGCCTGAATCTGTTTTGTTCATATAGACCACTTGAACTTCAACTTTGTTGAATTCAATGTCTTGAAACCATTTGTGTTCTCATAATATGAGGCGTTTGTCTGATAATAATGTAAGTAAAAAATTTTTTATTACATTTCTGGGAGAACCATTTTACAACATTCTTAGTGTTACTTAAATACCATAGCACATAAACATCACATCTGATGTGGAAGTCTCAATTGCACAGTATAACTTTACCGGTATTTAACTGGAATGCATGACTGCTTTAAGGGAGATCCATATCTGAGTGAAGACATTCTCATTTTTATTGAATGAAATGTTTGAAATTAAAGCCATGTAATTAATAGTATAGCTGATGATAACTTTTGGTCACAAAAAGCTAATCTATCATAATAAGTAAGCCAATCAATGAAAACAAAATTTTAATAGTTAACTAATTTCATGTTTATAATTATGTTAAACTTGTTGGATAATGTGATCATGTTCTGCTCTGTGCATTAGGCGTACCATCTCAATATGTACCAAAATGGTAAACTCTGATATTTTAGCCATTGGGATTATTTATAGAATTAGTGTACTTCAATTAGTGTCTGTAAAACACGTCTAAGTCAATTAGTTAAATTGAAATATCAATTAATTTAAAACAGCAAGTAATTTGAATGTTCAGATGATAAGTTCAGTAGTTGCTTAAAACTTTTACATAGTGCACTATTTGAGCAAATGTTCAGTGCTGAATATCTTGCCACATTATTTTAGATTCTGAAAGGTCATACACATTTAGATGTCTCCCATCTGATTNTCTGTAAAACACGTCTAAGTCAATTAGTTAAATTGAAATATCAATTAATTTAAAACAGCAAGTAATTTGAATGTTCAGATGATAAGTTCAGTAGTTGCTTAAAACTTTTACATAGTGCACTATTTGAGCAAATGTTCAGTGCTGAATATCTTGCCACATTATTTTAGATTCTGAAAGGTCATACACATTTAGATGTCTCCCATCTGATTAAGATGAGCTATAAAAGTTCTATTTTACCTAATAACCTTTCCCATATTTTTATTAGTACCTAATTGCATCATTGCAAGCAATCCAATCCAAGCAATCCACCATAGATTGCTTACAATTCTTTTTAAGAAATAAATAATCTTTGAAACAGCAATTCTTGAATGTTTAAGGTTTCTGATTGTAATGCATTTGTTTCCAGTGTCCGCAAGCAAGTTGTGAACATCCCATCATTTATTGTGCGCCTGGACTCTGGCAAGCACATTGACTTCTCTCTGAAATCTCCATTCGGTGGAGGTCGTCCTGGACGTGTCAAGAGGAAGAACCTCCGCAAGGGACAGGGTGGCGGAGCCGCCAATGATGAAGAGGAAGATTAATAAGACAATAAATATATATAATTATTAAATTTGTTTTATTATTCAGAGCTAGTTAAGAGGCTGTAGGTCCATCAGTGCCCTACGTGGCGCATGAAGTAGTTATGTCGATTTCTCTTACTAAGCACCTGGCTTGCCTAACTGCCTTTTTTGTTTGTAATGTACTTTGTCTATTAATAGATTCATTCTCAGTATTTTGGGATTCGTCTAGACTACTAGTCTAGTAGTCTCTGGGAAAGACTAGTACTAGATATCCTGGTGCTTTAGTCAGAAGTTCGAAGAGAGAAATCCCACGTGTAATTAGCATAGGTAGTAGCTTACATGGCAGAAGCGTAAGGGCCGAGTCACACCGGGATGGCAGCGGTCGGCGCCGATGCCAGCGGCACCAGGCGGCGTCGCGCGGCCTCCAGACTGCACGCGCCTAGTCTCCTCTTGACTAGTTTAGTTTTTTCATTCGGCAATGATCGTATAATAAAAATGAAACCCGCAAAATTATAATTTGTGTAATTACTGGTTGTAGGACCTCTTGAGTCCGCGCGGTTAAGTACCACCGCCCTGCCTATTTCTGCCGTGAAGCAGTAATGCGTTTCGGTTTGAAGGGTGGGGCAGCCGTTGTAACTATACTTGAGACCTTAGAACTTATATCTCAAGGTGGGTGGCGCATTTACGTTATGGATGTCTATGGGCTCCAGTAACCACTTAACACCTGGTGGGCTGTGAGCTCACAGCTTATATAAGCAATAAAAAAAAACGTGGGTTTGGAGTGAACGTGATGGAATTGGTTATTTATTATATATAACCGCGATGCCGCGAGTGGCCTTGTGTCGCCGCGGGCAAAAACACCGACAAGACGCACGTGGCGGCGGCTGCTCGCTTCACCGCGGTTTCTTTTAAGTATATAGATAAAGTTTAAAATTATTTCACACTGAAAGTGCTCGCCGCGACGCTGCCGGTCGCTGCCATTCCGGTGTGACTCGACCCTTATGGATTATTTGTGAACTCGCACGCTTCTAGTCCCGAGTGCTTCAGCCGTATACCAGTTTCGCATTTCGGTTTGGAGTGAGACAGATTTCATAAATATCTGCAATGGAGACTGTCTCACGTCTCATGGTGACTTCTCAAATATATTAAGTGTACAATCTATGGGGTGACTGCAACTAGTTAACAGTAGTCAACGGCGGTAGGAAGACACCGTCGGACGTCGAACGCTATCAAAAGACCGCGATAACTTTGCTTAAACCTTGTTATTTCGTAAACCTTAAGTTTAAAAGCTTTAATTTTGAAAGAAGCAATGTCTTGTAGCACAAGTAATAAGTTAGTCATTCGTTTCGTCTAAAACATCAAGCACGATTTATGTAATCGAGTGGAACTGAATTAGGTAGGTACATAAAAAGTCAATGGTCAAACTTGGCCAAAAGTGTTCTTAAATTTGTGTAGGCTACTCTTAAAACTCGTCAACAGATAATGTCAATCAAACCACTTTAAAGTGTTCAATTTTATAATGCCTGTTATTTGATAACTATTATACCATACGCTGACTCTTACTTTAATAATAAAAAATCACAAGTGAACGACACGGACGTAGTATTAGCTGCGAACAAGACTTAATTAGAATGATTCCGGTGTCTAGCGAGAACGGTAGAGCACAGGCTCCGTGTGCTTAGTGTGAGTTATTGTTCTCGATAGCGTAAAAGTTAATTCAAAGTATGCACTATGCAATCGGAATAACGCCCCTAGCGGCAAACGTTCCAACTCCTTACAAATTTAAGTTAACTTTTACGCTATTGAGAAAGTTAAAAAACTCGCACTAAGTACATCGGTAGATAAACCCACTGAGTTTCTCGCTGGATCTTCCGCGTAGGTCGCAATTCTGATCTGATAATAGATTATACGAAGCCTTGTCCTAGGGCTAGTATTAGCGAATTCTTTCAGGTTCAGCCCGTGAGCTCACCTGCCCTTCCCCGGGGAAGTTTGAATAGCCTCTTATGCTTTTTTTATTTATTGCTTAGATGGGTGGACGAGCTTGCAGCCCGCCTGGTGTTAAGTGGTTACTGGAGCCCATAGACATCTACAACGTAAATGCGCCACCCACCCTGAGATATAAGTTCTAACGTCTCAGTATAGTTACAACGGGTGCCCCACCCTTCAAACCGAAACGCATTACTGCTTCACGGCAGAAATAGGTAGGGTGGTGGTACCTACCCGTGCGGTGCTTCCAGTAATTAGGTAGAGGAAAAATCGAGCATGGGCAGTTAGGCGCCTTTCATATTAAGTATAATCTATGCGCCTTACCTATTCTGTTCATCGAGGTTCACTGAATTTGGCCCCACTTTTTTTTTTTCGGGGTTTTTATTTTATTTTTAATTATTTGTTCGTTAATGTCCGAATGTAAAAATTGTTTTTTCGCCTTTTATTTATTTATAATTAATTAAACAAATGATCACCCTTAAGTCGACCCCCCTTACTAGATATCATTATTTTTATCGCTTAGATTAATTAATTTTGATCAATTATCGTTTGTTCGACGACTATTGGTGATTGTTCGATCATAAAAACAATTAAATTCCCAATTATTAATTATTTTATATCTAATAAACAAACCATCACCTCACGCCTTGCGCATGCGCCGGTTTTGTCAGTCAGCTGGCAATGGCCGTATTTACTAGCGTTTTGTTAACAAGTGCGTTTATACTGTCTAATTATTTCTTATGTAGATCAAAAATTAAACATAAAAAACTCCGTGAGGCTGCAATTGAGTGCTAGATGACACATACTCTTGTTTTTTTTAAATAAAATTTTGTTTATAGAGATATATATACTAAGTTTATTCTTCCATATTAAATGAATTTCTACTAAATGTTCCTTTAATATATTTATTGAACTTATAAAGAATTATCATTTCAACAAAAACAGATTTTGTGTGACTTTTTCATTTTTTGAACTACGTAATGAATTTAGGAATTATTAATTTTATTATAAAATACAAGTATCATAACTATCTCTTATTGCATGTTAATGTTAATGAATTTTAAAACGAAAATTGTCCACCTGATGGTTGTCTGGAAGAGATCGCTTTTAGCGATAAGACCGCCAATTGTACTTTTTGTTTTTAATGTATCGCACTGTTCATTTGTTTTTTTGGTGTACAATAAAGAATACTCTCTCTCTCTCTCTCTCTCCTTAAATATTCTTAGAATAATTAGAAATCACTGAAATTTCTATATGCTTGTTAATATTCAATATCATTAAAAATAACTGAATTTATTAAAACCGCGCTAATCGTACTTTAACGACTAATTGGCCGTCTTCATTGACATTTTTTTGTTGAAGTATTGTTGAAGTTTGTTGAAGTTTTCAGTATTTTTTTGATCTACATAAGAAATAATTAGATAGTATAAACGCACTTGTTAACAAAACGCTAGTAAATACGGCAATTGCCAGCTGACTGATAAAACCGGCGCATGCGCAATGTAGGCGTGAGGTGATGGTTTGTTTATTAGATATAAAATAATTAATAATTGGGAATTTAATTATTTTTATGATCGAACAATCACCAATAGTCGTCAAACAAACGATAATTAATCAAAATTAATTAATCTGAGCGATAAAAATTAAGATATCTAGTAAGAGGGGCCGACTTCAGGGTGATCACTTGTTTAATTAATTATAAATAAATAAAAGACGAACAAACAATTTTTACATTCGAACATTACCGAACAAACGACGAAAAAATAATTANATTATTTTTATGATCGAACAATCACCAATAGTCGTCAAACAAACGATAATTAATCAAAATTAATTAATCTGAGCGATAAAAATTAAGATATCTAGTAAGAGGGGCCGACTTCAGGGTGATCACTTGTTTAATTAATTATAAATAAATAAAAGACGAACAAACAATTTTTACATTCGAACATTACCGAACAAACGACGAAAAAATAATAAAAATAAAAAAATCCGAAAATCAAAAAAAATGGGGGCCAAATTCCGTGAGCCGTTCATCGAGGCGTTAAAATTTTCAGTCAATCTGGTGGCAGGTTATTAGTTTATTTTTATTGCACAGTTATAAGGCGGCCCTGCGACACATGAGTTATTTATTAAATCGTGTGATTTTAATGATTACTTTGAAAGATATGACGATACACCAGGTGGGCCGTGACCCGTGAGCTCGTTGACACCTCTACGCAAACATTAATCAGATTTATCTATGCGAGTGTGCAACCGACACAGTCCCTGCTCCGACCCGGAGCCTCCAGACTCCAGAGAAATGTGGAGCGGTCTTGTGGTTATGTTAGCAGTTCAGTGCTTGTGAAGATAATTAGAAATTAATAGTTTTAATGTTTTTTAATAAATATTATATTAGATATAATTAAGGTTTGTACAAATGAATGGCGTGTGTGCAGCGCAGTCTAAGCCCAGTTCCTAATGACGTTATAATAACGTTACTTGCCACGTCTGAAACTTAAAAACAAAAACAAGTGTGCGACGCGACGTCGGCCTTGGCTCAGTCGCCGCCGCCGCGGAGCTGCACGCCAGCTGTTATAACAAAAAGCTGGTCTTGGTTATTCATATTTTGTTATCGATCGCTTCCTTCTCGGCGTCAGCGAGCCCAGTGTCTCGCAAAGTGGCTGCGAGGCGGGTCGCTGCTTCGGCCTCGTGGATCTGTTCGATGCAGAGCTCTATGATGCGCTGCAAGCCTCGAGCGGTTTGTTCCGACGAGTACACATTAGTGTCCGGGACGTGGACAAACAATGTACGGCTATTATCCACGGACAGCGATGTGTAGTAGATGTACTCACACAAATATCTAAAATTAAAAAGATTTAATTTAAGTAGGCCGTCGACATAGTCGGTTTGAAAAAGTCATGACTACCACCGATTCGGAATGCAGTTCACAGCTGAGAATGTGGGTTACTACTAACGTTTTGTACATTGATATCATGGAAATTAATGCTCAGAAGCCCTCCTCGAGACCTCAAATCGTATTATTAATTGAACTGAATTAGTGTAGAGAATAACTTGTAAGTTGCAAAAGAGTGATCTGTACCATGGTTCGTTGGTCGCAAAACTACGCTGTTGTAGTTCACAGTTAATATGTCAGTTGAAGTTGTGGTTGCGGGAACAGGTTACCTACGCTTGGTTAAATTACATAAATATTAAGACTAAGTGTATTAACTAATTATATTATTTCAGTTAGGTATATGGGATTGTGGAACGGGTAGAGTAAAATCACGGGATGATGGTAAAACAAGCTAAAATTGTGAATACCGTGATGAAACGGTAACGTTGTTGAAGCGGCTAACAGTGAAACAGTGCTAACACTGTTTTAATGCATATTCCTTNCGCTTGGTTAAATTACATAAATATTAAGACTAAGTGTATTAACTAATTATATTATTTCAGTTAGGTATATGGGATTGTGGAACGGGTAGAGTAAAATCACGGGATGATGGTAAAACAAGCTAAAATTGTGAATACCGTGATGAAACGGTAACGTTGTTGAAGCGGCTAACAGTGAAACAGTGCTAACACTGTTTTAATGCATATTCCTTTAAAAATAAAGAACCTACAACTCTTGCATAAAATATATCACATTGTTTTTGCGCGGCACATTATGGGAGGTCAGGCCGCGTCCGCGGGGGGCATTTGTTGGCCACTCCGACGTCTACTACCAGAACAGTAACATCTGAAACACAATCACTGATAACGAGCCCTTGATTAGACAAACGGGCTTATGAAAATATTTAGAAATCGAACAAATTCATAATACTGTAATTGATTTATTTAAGAATTGCAAAATTGCCTATGAAAATTGAATGATCGCTTCGTGGGTCTAGAGTAGTAGTTAGCGCTCCTCAAAACTGCATGACGAGATCAAGATTCGGTTTGCAAATACAGAATCTAACATCTGTTTATCTTGGGCTGTAGGGGCTGGGCAAACTGTTACCTGACGCTTTGACCCAAAGGATCTGTTGTGTCATTCTGCTGTTGTGTACTCTTGATTTCCAAACAGCACCCGCAGTAGCACTGCAAGTGTCGGAGACTATAAACATATTGGTAACCACTGTTCAATGTTCATTCTTTTTTTTTATTGCTTAGACAGGTGAATGAGTGAATAAACATATTGGCATTCATCTTGAGACGTGAGTTTCAAGTATCAGTTATATAGTACCATGGTCGCCTCATCCTTTAAACTGGAACATATTACTACTTCATGGCAGAAATAGACAAGGTGCTGGTAATTATATACTATTATTATGTAATTGAAGAATTACCTGCCAGCATCTTTGGAGCTCACAGCCCTGGTGGAGTCTTCAGGGCTTGCATCATTGAATTCCTTACATATTCTTTCAACATTAAGCTTAGTATGGATCCTGACTGCTCCGTCTGCTGTACAGACATGATTAGCAGGACATTTGTCAAAATAATCCAAACGTTGATAGCCTTTCTTATGTGCTTGAACCTCTAGAGTCAGTTCATTAGCTATACTGGACACCCCCACATGGATCATTAGCTGCAAACATACTATTCATCAATATTACTACATCATACTATCTGTTTTTTTTTGTATAACAAACATTGTTAAGTTAATCTACTTTTATCTCTTCATTTCATTCTGTTGTATTATTCTTATTTGAGATATGCAATAAAACTTGTAAGATTACTCTAAATAAGAAAAAAATGTTTGGTCATAAAAAAGTATCATATTAAAATTTGTTAAACATTTTAAAACAGGTTCCTCAAAGCTTGCGGTAAAGTAGGTGCTACGCTACAGAAAAGTTACACAGGTTCTCAAAGAGTATTTGTCTGAGAGTTAATATTCAACATTTTTTAATTAGGCATAACTAAATGAAAGTAACAGAAAGCCATCAACAAAGATAATGTATCTTTGTTGCAGGAGAGCAGATCTCTGTCCACCAAGTGTAGATAGTTAGGTAGGAGGTAACTACAAAGAGGATACTGATGCTGTAGCTGCAGCTGCAGGAACGCTCACCACAGCCCTAATTAATAGGATCGACCAGAGCATTATCATTTGTTTTTATTGCAGTACACATCAAATGGCACAGAGCATTGTTAACACAACTTTATTAATTCTAAGTAATTCTGTATTTTTTACTCAATGTGATCAGAAGATCACAACGATTATTTGTCACCAAAACAAAAAAACATGTTTTAATAAAAAAATGGAATTGCATTTAATTTACCTTAGGGGTGTGTGTCTCCCACAGCGCAGGTACAAACTCATCCACGTTTTCATAAGTTACTGGTATTTCAATCAAAACAAGCTCGCACCTGTGTTTATTTTCTATTTCTTGTTTATCTAAAAGTTTCACGGCTTCCCAACTTGCGTTCACTGGATGATTAGCAAACGGGCCGAAACCAGTTACCATTATTATGGGTTTAAATAAAAAATCTAAGTCATTAGACATTTTTTAAATTTATTTGCAGATTTGAGAATTGAGTGAGCTCAATCTTGTTTGTGTTATAATCAAAGAATAGAATAAGTAGTGCTTATAATTTAATCTTAGCCTTAAACTTAATTTTCATTACTAGTAGGTTGAATTTGCTACATTTCAAAACACTAACAGTGATAAGTAGGTGCTATTTTACTTGGTCAGCTGATACATTATTTTAATGTTGGTAATGGAAAAACCATAGATTAGTAGAACAATCAAAGAGAGTTAAGTTCAATGAAGTANGCCTCATTAGACGGAGACGGAGATATTTACGTATATTCATGTTTCATTTTATGTACGCACTGAAATACTGTTATATTGTTTTCCTGCGAGTTAAAGTGCTGAGTAAGAACGAGATAGATATATGTTTATGTGTGTGCCTTCAAAATGGGTGCTATTTATATAAGCAATTGTACGTATAGAACAATATGTCGTGTCCCTATTATATAGGTCTATGGTTAAGTTATAGATTGGGAAAGCTCAATGATGTCAGTGTAAAACTTGTAGCCTGATAAAAATAGTAAAAAATATAAATAAAACTTGTAGCCAATACCGTCTTTACCATAAGGGCACACAGGGCCCATTCTCAGGGGCCCCGAAGGGCCGGCAATTTGGTTACCAATTGTAGTCGAGAGCGGTCATTTTCGCAACTTAAGAGAATAAAAAATGAATTGCGAACAACAATGTTACAAGAACGGCTGAGTAATTTGTCAATTATGGGCATAGAAAGTGATATCCTTCAAAAAATTTACTTTAAAGATATAATGGAATATTTCGCTCAACAGAAATCCCGAAAGAAACCATTATCGTAATCGTAACCAAAAAACCAGCAGCATTCTAATTTAATATTATTATATCATACTGTATTTGATTACCTATAGTAAATGGTCATACACAGTAAAAAAATGTTTAAGGTGGGTGGCGCATTTACGTTCTAGATGTCCATGAGCTCCAGTAACCACTTAACACCAGGTGGGCTGTGAGCTCGTCCACCTAACTAAGCAATAATAATAATAAAAAAATTATAATTCGCTTTTTTTACTTTCCAAAAGGGCCTCAAATTCTTGTGTGCCCAAGGGCCCCAGCCTAGCTTAAGACGTCCCTGCTTGTAGCCTGTAACTGGCAGCCTATGAGGCTTTTCCAGATACGCTCTGACGGGCAGGTGAGCTCAGGAGCTCAACCTGAGAGAATTTGATAACACTAGCCTTGACAAGAGAGTAGGGCTTCGCAGAATCTACCACCGGATCGGAATCGCGGCCAACTGTGAAGAGCCGGCAAGAACCTCAGTGGACTGTGTCTATGGGTTAGTTCCCTCGTTGTAATCAACGAGGACAGTGACCGGTGCTTAAGGGTCCTAAAAGCACAGAGAAAATCCAGAGGATCCGACAAGACATGTCGGGCGACGGCGCGGCGGCGGCTTTGTGTTGCCTCATCGTGGTCGGTTAAGTAAATTTTGTGGGTTAAGCATCGACTTCATCTAAACATCTTAATCTATAAAATAAAGTTTTGATTGAACACATTTGTACTCAACAATCAATCCATTATTCTACTAGAACATGTCGGCGTTATGCCAGGCTTTTCACACGTAAGATTGATTACAACTAAAATACAATATAATTCTATAAAAAGCTAACATTTCGTGAATACTACAAAAAGCACTATGTTATTTTTTACACAATTAGCCATTTTGTAATGGTTTTAGCAATTACAGCTTCTTATATACAAACAAATGGAATTACTGCGAAACAATTCATGAAATGAAGCATAAAAGTCAAAATGTTAATATTCATTTATTTTGTAACCTATGCTGATAGCCTTTAGATGCTATTTCAGCGTCACCCTAACGTGTATGTAGGTGAGCTTACGGGGCTCAAACCAGAAGTGTTCCTAACACTGGCCCTAGCAAGAGCAGTGCTTCGCAGAATCTATCAACGGATCGGAAACGCAACCCACTAAGAAGATCCGGCGAGAAACTCAGTGGGCCGTGTTTATGGGTTTATTGACTCGTAGAGTCCTTCGTCGCAAGCGACGGGTTCGGCGAGGACTGTGATTCGGTACTTGAGGTACCTAAAAGCACCGTTAATGGATCGAGAGGATCCGTAATGACGTTGAGGGAGTGCATATAGAGTCCCTTCTTTATTTCGCCTGGTCGTGTTTTATGTAATTATTAACACCACAGTTGGAACAATATAAATTTTATTGTTGTAGCGGCATAAAGTAATTACATTAAATTAGTTATTTAACACATTATAAATTATTTTTATTTTTTTCATATTTGGCGGTAAAAAGGTATCGTGTCACAGACTATATCCTTTTTCCCACATCTCGTGCGTTCCGGCTTACGCATAATAAAACGCCACAACGTGTTTAGCGCGACGTGTTTAGCGCGACGTCGACTGTTTACTATTCTGTCCACAGGATCGGGTATGAAAATATTCAGAATAAATATTATAGTGAATCTGATCGTGGCATGTATTTATTTTAGTTATTAAATATTTTTTTAATTAATTTATTACATACATACATATAGGTCTACCGGAATTTGATGGCAAAAAAAAGTCGCTATCTGTCAAAACTGAAATTTCGTGGAATTGTTTTTGGTTTGGCTTCAAATTTCCTTTAAAAAGTGGTGAAAATGTCGAAGAAACCTCTTCGATCGCAAGCAAGAAGTATTGTTTTAAATGTTTATCTATCTATCTATCTATCTCTTAGGTTTATGGCGAAAAAGAATACTCGATGAACAAGGTGCAGAACAAACACAATCATCGATATTGAGCCATGTGCAAGCGTTGACTGGTTAGTAGGAATGACACGTCTTGATACTTTGGTTTATTGCAGTTTCGTTTATATTATGTAAACTAAACTTTGGTTTATTTCAGGTGTTTCTAATACTACCATAACACGAATTGTTGCCTAAGGCAGATCTAACAGAGGCGTATTTAGTACGCCCGGTCAAAAGAGGAAAGGTGGCAAAAATACTGCGTTTTCTTCGCCTTCCTCTTCTGATGAAGACTTTTATGGATGTGCAGTATTTGGAACCATTTTCAAGCTCTGATAGCCTATAATTAATTAATTCATGAACAGAGTAATTGGAGTTTTCATCTAAATTTCGAATCCCACATTCGCCACAGTAAGATTTTCAAACATTATCCTTCATCATTGCATACATTCTTATATTTGCATGTATCATACACAGAATCAGCCGCTATAAGAAAAAAAAGTATCAAAACGTTTTACTCCAATTTTTCCAGTATTGCTAGCGTCAATTTCTTTTTTCCCTTTTTGCCATCAGGTCCTGGTAGACCTATACATACTAACATACGTCTGAACCTAATAAAAGCGTATTATACGTTAATAATAATTAAATAATAACATAGACTTACCTAAACTATAAATCATGTTTTAAGCGTCATTATTGCCAATAATGGTGGTTTGCACCCATAAACACTATCTGCGCTATTGAACTTAAATTAAATGTGTAATAATAATGACTAGTTGAACATTTAGGCTCTGTGAAAATCACTACGCATGCATTCTTTGCTTTTTCCATAGGTTCCCTGAAATATTAGTAATTGTCATCCTATTACTGGGATAAAATTTTACTTCATTTGTTTTTAAATCTTCTCATTTAATCTCATACTTTAATTAATTTCACAAAGATCATCTTCATTTCACTTAAATTTACTTTCCATTAGAAAACTATTTTATTAGTTAGACTCGATGCTGGCAACAACAAAGACCAATTATCATATTAAAAAAAAAGTAGTGAATACTTGTGAAACCATAACAATACAGTTGAATGAAGTTAGCCCCTCAAAAAAATTTTTTTTTCCTATTTTATACTTATTTTCTATTAATTCGTTTGTTCATCATTTGTTCATGATTGTTCACTGTTAATAATTGTTTGTTCTGCATTTATTTATTTAAAAATATACCTACAAGTTAGCCCCTCTAATGCAATTTTTAATATTTTTTCATCCTTAATGACTCGTAAATATTCATTTTCGATTGTTCTTATATAAAACAAGTTTGTTCTCTTTCGAAATTAGTAGTTTTTTGTTTAATTTACTATTTTTATTAGTTGAATAAATGTATGCAAAATATGTGTATTGCGCATGCGTCAACTATAATGCCTAAACTTTCTACGCGGTTTTAATCGTGAAAAAAAAAACAAATATAAATCCTGAAGGAGCAATTAATTTTTTTTTAGATTTTTCAATTAACTTTAAGTACTTGAAAAAAAATTTTTTAAGTGACGTACTCGCTTTCGAGGCCTTGCGCGCAACCTAACAATGGCGCGCGGCGGGCTATTATCAGCGTTAAATTAAAATTATAAATAATGGAGCTACAGTTCCGGGAGTTGGAACTTTTTTTTACTAAATTTCCTCCTCTTTAAGGATCTTTTTTTCAAATTTCGAAAATATTTATAGTTTACGGACAATAAGCAATAAACGAAACGCTATTTTTTTAAGGTGTTTAATTGTTAATAACTTTTGGAATTTTTTATGTGCTAATTAAATTTTTTAGCACAATGGTCTAGACATTATTCCGAATCGAATGAGCTAAACCACATAATTTTAGCAGTAGTATGTCGAATTAACACCATTTTTAACTTGTCGACTAGACTAAATTGAATGTCGATGTTCTGACCAACGGAAATCGATTCATTTGCTTTTAATCGATTCAAAATCTGTGTTTTCAGGTCAATCGATTTTGCGAGTAATTGATCAAGCCCTATTCCTAAAGTTTTTTTAAAGGTATTTTATGACCTGGTAAATAGGACGTTTAAGTCATGTCTCATTTTAATGTATATCCTTATTTTTATGGCAAATGATTACGGAGTGAAATGACATGAAATGAAGATGATTAATTTGAGACATTAATTAGCTGCGATGAAATTAAATGAGATGATTTTTTTTTATTGCCCTTGTAGGCAGACGAGCATACGGCCCACCTGATGGTGAGTGGTTACCGTCGCCCATGGACTTCAGCAATTCCAGGGGCAGAGCCAAGCCACTGCCTACCGCTTAATACTCTCCACAAGCCTCGTTTGAAGAAGGACATGTCATAGCGCTCGGGAAACACCGTGGAGGGGAGCTCATTCCATAGCCGGATGGTACGTGGCAAAAAAGACCTCTGGAAACGCACTGTGGATGACCGCAGTGGCTCC